TTTCAGCAAGAAAGAAATGAAACATGCCAAAAACCACAAATTTAAATAAAATTAGTCGGTGTAAATAGGAAGGGGTTCAACAGAACACTATCTAAAACCGTCCCCATCAAAATCAACAAGATTCAGCTTGTCTTAGAATAAATGATGAGCTGGAAATTAGCCAAATAGGAATTCCGAAAGCGCCACGTGCATTTCCACTCCCAAATCATTCTCTTGCAAAACGTCTCATTTTAACTATCAAATGAAAGATGTTGTAAGAAGAAAAATTAGACGAGAACACCAGCAGAAAACTCAACCGATACATTAAATTCCCATAATTTTAAGAAATGTATATAATATACAATTGAAATTTGTAAAATAAGCACAAAGCTGCGATGATTTTTTTTTTTGAATGTAACTGTACAACTGCACAATTCCTTTTGAATTTGTTAATGTAAAGACGATGTAAAAAATGTTTAAAAAATCTGCAAATTGATTTCAATAATAAAAATTAAAATTAAATGGAGCTAAATTTAATAAATTCAATAATTTAACAAATATTCATGAAATAATAATCTATCTGATACAAAAATCATTCTCAGGGTTTGAACCTAAACTGGCCAGAATGGAGGAGCGAATAGTGAATTTGTGTCGACAAGCGAGGGTTTGGAATTTGCCCTCGATAGCAGCAAACTAACTTGTTCAGAAAATGCGAATGGTGCTGGCGACCTGCACTTCTATCGTCAAATGCCCTCTGGCACTTCTCTAACAGCGAACAGAGTTTAATCAAAAACGGCAAGCGTCAACATTTATTTACAAAAATCACTGAAACCCTAGAAAAGACTTAACATATCCCTTACAAAAAGATTTTACAAATATTCTAAAGCAGAATTATTAACAATTATTTATTATAAATATTTATTAATATTATTATTAAATAAACAAAAATATAAATAAATTGGAAATAAAGAATGGAATTATTCGCGTTTAATTCGCGAAGATTTTAAAAAATAAAATTTTCTAAAATTTCTTTTTTATTTATTTACTTTTTATTTATTTCTATTTCTTTTTCCAAATTCATATAAGGATTTTCTAAAATTTAACAAATTTAACATTTAATTTAACAAATTTAACATTTAACTTTTTTCTACTGCTAACGATGAAAATTTCTTACGCTAAATTACGCTTCAGTGAAAATAAAAATAAACATGCGTTTATCAGTTAACATTTCTGGTAAGGGTCCGCTCTATTTGGGGTTCGCTGTTATTCTTACCAGAGAGGTGATAGACGTAGGGGCACGTCATCCGGATAGGTTTACTTCTGCTCAGAGTCGTAGTCGCAGAACGCTTCCTCTCAACACGGTGCTCACAGCCACTCAGCCACCATTCTTCCTCCATTCAATAGAAGTAATTACTGTTATAAAAAATATAAAGAATAGAAATAATGGACAAAACCATCGTATTTTTCACTATTTTTTATTTATTTCGAGAAAAACGATAAATCTATCAAATGAAAACTTTTTCGAAGTTAATCCATAAAGTAATAATGAGCAGCTGATGGATGCATTGAAAAAAGCAGATTTTGTAAAAATTTTTAAATTATTTGAGGCAATATAATTAATCATTGGAATTCAACTTTTCGTCATATTTTTCAAATAAATTTTTAATTTTCGCAAGTCAAAGGCTATAATTTTATAGAAAAAGTAGTAAAAAGATCCGTGCAATAGAAGTGTAAAACAGTCTTCAGATCTGGCATAAATCCCTCTTAAAACTCGTTTTACTTCCTTAACATCCCTTCCATTCCTATTTAAACACTACTATTTTCACACTCCACAAACTCCCACTATGCTCCATTAATACTGCTAGGTTTCGCCTCCAATTCACATATTTTCCACGATACCCCCCTCCCCTTTCATCAGCTTCAAATTACACTTTACAATTTTAAAATTTGCTATGGCCCAGAAGTGCATTGCCAGATTCAACACATTAAATGAACAGGCGTTCATAACTGAGTGGAAAGAGTGGTGCTAACTGAGGGGATCAAAGTGATTAGAAGAGATTTAAGATAATAAGTATCCGATTATAGTAAAAGTGTAATGAAGCTTGGGAAATTGATGAAGGTTTTTACAAAACATACTAGCTTTAAATATATCAAAAAATTCATTTTCCAATTCGACAGAGGGAACTTCCGCGGTCTAAAGATGCGGTTTTTTCCGTGCACACATATCAACCAAATATTTCTTCAAATAGAAAGCACGAAAATTATAACTGGTAGCATAATCTTTCTTTTGCTGCATTAATTTACCAATAGAAGACAGAATAGTGGAGCAGATGATTGCCCTATTCAGTTCAGATCTTACGAGATTAAACTGCCATTAAAAAAAACTGCCATTTACCATGAAGGAGAGCCATCTGCATCCATACTGGCAGTTGATTTCCTGATAAAAACTTCTAATCGTCTAATCGTACTAATATCAAACGGAGTGGGTTTAACTTTAACTAGAAATTATTGGTACTAATACTTTATTTTAATAGAGTACTTCGGAAGCGAGTTATTACAACTTTAATACTGCAAACTTAATTTTATATTTTTATGAAAACCGTCGTTAACGAATTATTTTTCAATTGAAAAGCGGAGAAGATGGCTAAAATGAGTTATTTTTGTAGAGATTTTGCCTGCAATTAAATTAGAGGTAATTACCGTCTATAGCAGAAATCAAAATACAAAAGCGAAAAAATTAAATCATTTCGAATCTTTTGGTGGCCAGGATAATCGAGTGATATATTGTTTTGAGCAAAATCATGAGGCACCATGTTTTTACTTCGCTTCCTTCCATGTCATGACTCTCGATAAAAAGAAGATCCAGCGCATTTCCATCGTACTGCCAAAAGTCCTAAAATCCAAAATATCCAGCAAAAACGAAGTTGGAAGGTGGAATAAATGGATGAATAATGTTAGAAGAAGCAGAAACAGAATTTAAATTTTAATTGAATCGATCAAACTGTGAATAAATGGATAATTATTTGGAAAATAGGAGATAAAAAATAGTGATAAAAGGAAAAATAAATAGTGATAAATGGAAACGATTACAAGGAAAGGTTTTTTGCGAACAATATCGCGAAATATTACATTTTTATTTCTCATTTATTATTTATAAATTTGATTCTATAAATTTATCAAATTTTAATGTAAAAACTCATTAAATTTCAAACCATCTAACTCAAATAACCAAAGGTAATTTCCATGAACAGCAACAAAAGTATGACAAGTGTGAACATTCGAACCTTCAAAATCCGGCAAAACAGGCGCATCCCGTATATGTGCGACAAATAACACAAATATAACATTTTGTTCACCAATTTTAATATCAATGATTTTAGTAAATTATAAAAACAAAATAAATTTAAAATAAAAATATGAATATTATGATGAAGAAAAATGATGGAAATTGAGAGCGATATGAATAAGTTGAGACGAAATGTGGATGGACGGACGAGACGACTAAGCGAAAAATTTAACAAAAGAAACTGGCGACGACCTTGTTATAGGTTTCGAATGAAACTAGTTCTTCTTAAGCGTATACTTCATTAAAATAACTAAAAATATAATTTTGCCAATATTTGACCGCAATTTTGATTACGCGAATTTTGCCAAATTTAATGAAATAACCATAAACGACCAAAAATCACCTAAATATCCTTATTTTTTATAAATTTTTTCTTTACAATAAATTTCTTAAAATAAGTTCCTTTAGGGAATAGAGAAGTGAATTCAAAAAAGCGAAAAAACTTAGGATTCTGCTTGAATGCCCTTCAATAAAAAGCCTTTAAATAACAGGATTTATGCTTTTCATCGTCGCCAAAGATCGATATTCTCCGATTTTTCTAAAATATTTCTTAACGATGTCATAGCAAATAATTCGATAGCTATAAAAAAAAGGAAAGGAAATCTTTTCTAAGAATATACAAATTACCAAAGAAATAACAGAGAAGGAATGGTTATTGCTCGCGAAGATTATCGTCTTCAGTGTCAAAGTGCCTACACTACTATTGATGGAAGTAAATCTGTGATCGAAAAACAACAACTGCAGCGCAACCAATTGTATTCCTATCCAGAAGCAATTTTCTGGTAAAAACTTCGCTAACAAACGAGCCTTAAGAGAAGGCGCTAACCGTTAACCGCTAACTGCTCTACATTTAATGAATTATTTTTTTTCAAAAATAATTTGCCTTTCAAATTTCAAAGAACTTAAAAACAATTTCGTAAAACAGAAATTTTTTATATTTCAACTAAGCAGAACAAAAAGATTTGTGCTCGTTTTATAGGAATATATTTTACTACCAAAAAATTCTCTTCTAAACTAAACTTTAAGCTTTTTGAAAAGGAACTTTAATTAGAAATTAAAACATAAAAATTGGTAAAGGATAGCAAAATTACTTTCACGTCTCATCATTTAACTTAATAATTCAAATCTACTAAAACGAATTATAAAATTGTTCTACCAGCGGAGAATTCCTTATACTTAAGAATTATTTTATCTAATAGGCCTGAGCATTAAATTAAATTTTTAACGCATTCAACCACACGATTAAAGTGCCAAAAACTTTTTTTATTTTTAATAAAGCTGCCTTAAACAGTAGAACAATTAGAGTAAAAAGCAAAAGGAAACATAAAAGAAAGATGGAAAAGAATGGAAAAGAAATTCATTGAAATTCTATGAATCATGAAAATAAATAATAAACAAAATATGAAAATCTAACAAAAAAATTAAACTTAGTACGAACACCGATTTCAAAAATTAATTCGATGAGCCAAAAGAAAATAACCAGGTAGATTCCAAAAAATAGACTGATATTTGCTTGACCTACAGAAATTATTGTAAATAAATAAAAACTATCAAAAATATGTGGATTTCAAAAAATTTCCATTAAAATATGGTGAACAATAAAAAAATTAAAAGTTAAAAGATAAATATGTATATATATTACTTCCAAATTTCAAAAAAATCAAATCGGTGAGAGTCAAGTTATCGGACTGATTTCGGATAAGAAATTCGTAGAATATGGTAAGCCTTGATCATTTGCCAAACGAATGACACCAACTCCTCCACCCAATCGCCTATAAATCATGCAACCGGACTGCTTCCATTGATTTACATCACGATCGTAAACTTCAACGGTTTTTAAATATGTTGTTCCATCAAAACCACCTACAGCATATAATTCGCTGTTGACAACAGCCAGGCCAACCTTTAAAAACAATGTGTTAAAAAAAAAAGCTATGAATTAATAATGGTATTCAGAATCTTAATACAAAAAAATTAATATAAAGGAAAAGAATTTCGAAAAAATTTATGATATTCCACCGCTTAAAAAAAACTTACTCCAGAACGACGATTATTCATTGCGACTATATTTGTCCATTCACCAGAATTCGGATTATATTTTTCCGCTGATGATAACTCACAAGCATCATCTCGTCCACCAACTGCATATAAACATCCATTATATACCGCAGTTCCCAAATGTTTTCGCCTTGTTGCCATAGATTTTACCATGATCCACTTGTTCATTCGAGGATCATACCTACATATTGATAACTGTAAAGTAAATTAAATTAACTATAAAGAATTAAGAATTATTAAGGAACAAAAATCTACCTTTCAACTGTATTTAAAGGATTTTGTCCATCAGAGCCACCAACAGCATAAAGGCAACCATTTAAAACAGAGACAGAAACACCTAATCTCCTCGTACTCATTGTTGCAACCTTACTCCATTCATTTCTGTGCGCATCGTACCTAATAGAGAATAAATAACATAATATTTATTCCCAGAATCAACCATTCAAAAATTCGAAGTGGTTTGAATGCAAAAATAAATAAATTCAATAAATCCCACCAGGGATTCAAATTAGGCTGGTGAGCAGCCACCTTAAATTTAACATTTTAACATTCCCGTTGTTAAGCATGCTAATTTTTCAGCTAATGCGGTCGAATCAATAAATGCAAGATGATTTTGTCTTGTTATTTTTTAATAGATTTTATGTCTTCTTGTGTCTTGTCTTCATTATGTCTTCATAAAATAAATTTCGTATGGGCTTTGCCTGATTCTGTGTTCAGCCTGTATGATAACCTGTATTGTATTATTCTGTTGCAATATGTTTTTGGCTATTACATCTAGGATTTTTCTTACGTGAATCCGCTATTTTTATAATAAAAGAAAAAAATATGCTGAAGTTAAGAACATATTATTAAAAAATAATAAAAAAAAGTGGCTAAAATATTCTATTCTATATCGCATTAAAATCCTTTTTTTTCTTATGTATTCTAAAAAACTTATGATTAACCCACCTTTCAACAAGATTTAAGCAAGAAACACCATCTTGCCCACCGACGGCATAAAGAAGGCCATCTAGAACTGCTACACCAACAGATGTTCGACAAGTTGACGTCGGAGCAATATCGCTGCTCCACTGGTTCGTTGCAGGATCATACCTTTCGACCGAATTCAAATAACTCTGTCCATCGTGACCACCAACAGCATAAAGCAGTTGGTCAAGCACTGCAACACCAACGCCACAACGACGTTTACTCATAGAAGCAACGGTACGCCATTCACCAGTACGTCCATCCATTCTTTCAACAGATGCAATGGCATCACCACTACACCAACCGCCTACTGCATATAATACTTCACCATATCGCACAGGCTTACGATTTCTAAAATTATGAATATGTATTCAATGTATTTCTCTATCAGTAAATCACAAATAAAATTGTTTTCTTCCGAAAAATTGAATTGAAAAATTGAAGATATATTCTTGATATCTTTGAATGATAGAAATTGCAAATGAAGATTACAAAATAACCAGCATAAAAAAGAACCTTGTTCTCGGCCCTTGCATATTAGGTCGTTCAAGTGGTAATAATAAATAATTCTTGGCTTCATCAACCAAATCCCGACACTGCCCATCACTTTTTATCAAGGGGTCCTCACTAACAATGCAAACCAAAAATTTCGCTGGACATAAAGGTAAACGAACATGTTCCAAAACCTGGGGAAAAATAATAATGATTTCCTACCTGAATGGCATTCTTTTTCTTCTAACAGCTCTCATTATTACTGGTTAGGCTGGTTCCCCTGGCTACAAGGGCAAAATGTCTCCAAATTTTTTCTCGCAATTCCTAAAAGGAGTAATACCTCAAGGGTAATAGTAATACTTTATTATTTTTCTATCTATTAAATTTCTTATTTTCGAAATGGAATTTGCTTTTTTTTGGCTGGAGTAAACTTGTCAGAAAACAAAACTAAAATTAAAATCAGAGTGGCTCCTATGAACCAACGTATATACATATATGTGACATCATAGATTAGAAAAGTTAAATCGATACAGCGTCAATGTGCATGATGCAATCAATCCTAACTTGACGGCACATGCAAACTGGGCAAGCACACGCTGATTCCTAAGTTTGGAAAAAGAATGGACCCTAAAGAACGCAACAAAGCAACTTGTCCTAAATATATTGCTGCTAGAAGAGACAATAATAAGACAGAATTCCACTTCTTCATAAAGCAACTCGGAAATGGAAAAATTTTTTGAGAATAAATAGAATCATGATGCGCCATTTCCATTCTGGAAAGGCCCAACAATCAATGAGTTTGCGAGTTAAAAAACAAGAAATAATCTCCTTTATTCAAAAGTTAGCTATTCTCAAGAACGATAATAGGAAATGCTATGATAACTATCGAGAAATTAGCCTATTAAACTTCTCTAAGAAAAATTCCTCCCTTCTGCTGAATTGACTTGCTCGAAAAGGCATTTAAACAGCGAATATCGGCAGTCTTTTTGCATGGAAGATTGATAGATCTAGTCGAAATAAAAACTGGCTTCCATCCTATCCTCTACAACACCAGTCATAAGTTAAGGAAGTAGTGAACTTTAAATATCTTAGATCCATTTTATATCAAATGGCCAAGCGAAATTGCAATCCGGATAATTGCAGGCAGAAATGCATCTACATTTAAAATAAAGATACAAAGTTTAAATGGTCAGACCATGTTCTTTGTTGCGTATCGTAGGGATTGATGCAAGTCCTGCTATTTGCTAAATGATGAAGACCAATCAAAAGACAGGCAAAATTGACAATAAAGGCGGTATATGGGCTCAGAACAATGAGTGGTTTCTTTTAATCTCAAGCATGGCATCAAAGGAACGGCTTGAAAACCTTACTTTTGCAATGAGCGAAGCAGCATAACCAGTAACGGTAAGAGCTGATTTTCAGAAATTTTTTGAATCCACAATAGTAAATTTTAAATTTGACCTTAGGTAAAAGAGGCCGGCGATTTGGAAGATCATAACGAATCCATGCCATTGCTGCAGCGAAAACCGTTTCCTCCGATCGTACATTCAGTTCTTCACTTGAGATAATTTCAATTAATTGAGAAACGGGAAGTAAGAGGAATTCTTCGCTTGCAGCGACATTCTTCAAATATTAAAAAAATAAACGTTATAAATAAATATCAGAATCTAACGAAATAGAATAGGATAAATGCGAATATAAATTATCGAAAACAGATTATTTTAAAGGGCATAAATGAAAATGAATCATGAATGGAAAAAACACCTGGAAATTGTGGTGGGTGAACTTTTCAGCGATTCGCATTAAATCTCTACATGCATGGGTGTCAGCAAAAGCTCGAATGCCTAGACAATTTGTCGGGTCAAGCTGCTTCTTAAGAAATTCACAACATACTTCCTTAAAAATATTAAGCATCAAATTGTTTCGAGGATAAAAATTTAATTTCTATAATTTAATTTAATAATTTAAACTGTGAATATTGATTCGACGAAAAATTCGATTTCGAATAGAAATTTTAAATTAAACTAAAATAAAATAACCTGTATTTCATTTAATTGTAATAAACATGCAGCAGGCAATATTGACTGAACATTATTATCAGCCACAGAAATTTCGCCCGTATAACAAAAGTCAATTAATGTTTGCAGTGTCTTGGCTCCTATATCAACCATTTGTATCTCCTCTATAAGTGCATGAATTTAAATTTGGTTTAAAAATTGACTTTCCTTCAATAATTTAAGTTAAATTTAGTCAAAAAAGTTTTTTCCCGGAATTTATCAAATTTTCCTGCAATAATTATCTTTTCAAATATTTTTTTATTTTTAAATTTCATGCAAATTTACAATACAAATTTATTATATGCAAATTTTTTATTACTTAAAAATTAAAAAGCTATTTAAACAATCAGTTTTTGAGATAAAATAAGTCAAAAATTTGATAAATCTCACATAAAAATCAAAAATTTAATAATTAACTACAATAACATCTAACAAAAATTTGATAACAAACGTTGTCTGCTTTCTGCCATTTCAGAAGTAAACATCGCGCGAAAATAGTTGGAACATGAAGCTAGAACTAAACGATGAGCATTTATGCGAGTGCTTCCAATAACGAGAGTCACATCACAAAGACAGCTCTCTGATCTTAATTCATTCATCTGTTCGAGCATTAAACGTGAATGTTTCTGACTTCGATAGACAAGTGGAGGACATCCAATTGATGAATTTGATGTTTGAAGCGAAAATCGACTTATATCCAAATCCGTTACATCCAACACTGATCCAATCATCGCAAATTATTCTAAGTTCATATCAACAAATGGCGTACGAATGTTAAAAACTAATAATGAAAGCATAATCCAGATTAATATGAATAAATATTTTAATTATTTAATATACAAATTTTATAAGTATTTGTATCGAAATTTATAAAATTCTTGAAATTTATTTTATATAATTCTATTGTTTGAAAAACTTTAAATTTTTTTTCAAGAGTAACTAATTTTCATTATTTTTTTCATAAATTTTATAAATAAAATTCACAAAAATAAATAAATATTTGAAACAAAATAAATATTTTTGTATAATACATATTTTTGAGTAAAAAATTTGAATTTCGCTCAAAAAAAATATAATAGAATCCAATCTCAACAAAAGAATTGCTGATAAAAGCTTTAAGATAACTCGAAAAATAAAAATAAAAGAAATTTTGGCTTATAAATTTCTTAATTTTTCAAAGCTGAAAAACAATTATTGATGATTAATGTTTCCGCACTGTTCGATGGATTTTACACAAAAATTCGATGGAAGATTTGGAATTATTCATGGAATTATTAATCCTTTTTCATTTATGGAATCATTTATTCCCTTAAATAATAGTCACAAATCTATTTGGAAATCGTAAATGCGTCCAAAATTTAAGCATCAATTTAAGCATCGTTATTCAAAACCTTTAATCGCTATTGCAATACAAAAGCAATTTGCGATTGAAAGCCATTTTCAGAGGTTTACAGACTGCAAAAAAAAACATAAATACGAATTAAAAAACAAAACAAGATATAAAATTTAAAAACACACGAATATAAGAAACAAATAATATTGCAAATACCACTAACAATGCTATCCAACAGTGGTCCGTAAATATAATATTATATTTGTGTTTTTAAATTTTATATTATATTATAATAATATATATTACATTATATTATAATATTATAATATAATATAATAATAAAATATTATAATAATATTTCAAATATTTCTTTTCAGAACTGGAGACTGACGCAACGAAACAATATTATTAAATAATTTATTCCAGTAATAGAAATGTTGACAAATAGGATAAAAAATGTACGCTTTATCAATATTTTTCTTTTGTTAGGATAAGGAGATTTCAGGCATAAGACTTAAAATTTTAGATTTCTAACAAACTGTATTAATCAAAATCAATGTTTTGATCAACCGAAAAACGAGCTGAAATCACCTAATTATTGCAATCATAATAAAATTGAAAAATTGGTGAAAATCGAAGTATCTGGTACATTAAATCTTAATTTTTTTTCATCATTTCAATTCATCAAGCTTAATGCCTTCCCCGGAATCATTTGAGTATATTATTCAAAAGGCTGCACTGAAAAGTAAATTTGCCCCCCAAAGCTTATAGAAAATATGGAAAGATGGTATCAAAGGAGTAGAATTTTATAATTTTATAAATTTTATAATTTTATTTTAAAATTTTATTAAGAATTCAATAAAAAACTGGAAATGAATCAAAAAGAAGTTTTAAACAAAATAATTGACTGAAGCCTGTATATCGAAACAAAAGTTCTTTTTGGACTGGATGGATATTGTTTAATAATATTGAGGACTAAAATCAGTGGTCAATAATTTGATGCCGTCAACATATACTGGTATTAAAATAGAAAGTAATATGACAGTTATTCATTAGCATGGTAATAAAAAGTAACAATTATTATTAACAATTATTAACAAAAAATATCATGGGGATACGACAGCATTTATTAAAGTATGCCGGCTAATATAAAGTTTCATAGCCAGTTTATCCAAGTCCTGCAGAATATGAATATGTGGTAGAGTATTGCATGCAGCAGAATTAGCCCTATTCAAATAAGCATTTTGAATAAAAGCAGCAATTTTTCGTACATTTTATCAAATTTATGATTTCTCTGTTGTAATTGTTTCGCCTGGATTCAAGAAGTTATAGTAGATTCCACTTACCCATTACCAAACAGCAACTATAGATCTTTCAAACAACTTCAGCCTGGAAAAGAATTCAATGGCTCCGGCCAAACCACTGTGAATAACGAGAAAAAAAAAAAGATTATCGCCTTTTCATTGCACAAAAGCTTAACGCAAATTTTATAACGACATTTTTTCATAAGTTCTTTTTTATTATAAGTTCGTGTGGTACCTATTTTCAAAGTATGCAAACGACTGTTGTTTAGCGAAATTCTTCTGATTCCTTTGCAGTTGTTTTACGAAAATTGGCTTCATTATGGTCCTCGATCGTAGAAGAAAGGACGCTCACTACTCTTCAGTCTCCACGAATTTCACTCACGAAACTTTTGAAATTAATACCACTGAAATCAAACTGTGTTCATTGACAATTCCTAGCCAAATACTTCTTTGATATTGTGAGCAGTTTCAGTTTCAGATGCTTTACGGCAGGTTTAAACTCAATGGAATTTTTTCTTTTTTCACAATCGAGATTGCTAAATAAAGGCTTACAGCACTGGGCAATGAGCTGAGATAGAGAAGCAGAAATTAAAAAAATGAATATCCTGTTCACCAAAGAACCATCCAAGGTTTCAATTGTAATGCAATAATATGGTAACATTAGAGACAGAAGAAACTGTAAATACTGGAAAAATATATGAAAGAAAAGGAGGATTAATAACAAGACTGCAAAGCTGATGCAAGACTTCAAGTAACTTCTCGAAGCAAGAACTAATTAGAAATACGGTTGCAGATATCCAACGCACTTAGATAACACTCTCTCCGAACAATTACTTGCTGAAAAAGAAAACTGCAGCAAAATCGTACATAGAATTTGAGAAATAGCTAAACTTAACATCAGTATTGCCTTTAGGTTTGTGTTATTGTATTAATAATATTAGGTTTGTATTGTTTCTTTAGGCATTAGCATATTAATTTCCCTTAAATCAAAGATCTAATATAATAAAAACCTAATGACTGTGAGTTCATCAGCTAATGCTGATTACACTCCCTTAATCATTTAGCCCGTTGCATTAAGCCGCTTTTAGGAAAGCGAAAGACTATTATAGTGAAGTCGAATATTTTCGGCGGAAAATTTCACCAGTGAAATCAGAGGTCATAAGATAGTTTCAAAGGCTAAACCATGCAAGTCCATATTGCTTTAAATGTTGAAAAGGCCGTATACCTTATTACCATATTATATATTTTATCTTAATGTCTTATATGGATAACTGCAATAACACTTAAAATTTACATCAAAGCTCTATAAACAAGAAAAAGGCAGTTTTCTTAAGCACTAAACATATTTTTACAGGAAATCACGAAATGAGGCCACAAAGAGATATTTTCATAGAAAGTTAATGTTTTTAAAAATCATTAAACAGTCTCAAGCTTCAAATCGGCGACATTTCTAGGAAATATCTGCTTCATCAGTGGCAATTTCCAACGATAATTTATACATGACTAAGGAAAAGAAACTAACGAGGATTTTGCCAGTAACGACGAGTGAATTGAAAATAACCAACGCTAATCTGCTAGCATTTTGATTAGAGGGAAATGCAGTGTAACACGTTTATTCGAATGTTTAGTAACCAATTCGAATCTGAATCTGAACTTCAAATTTATAATAGGTTCAGTCTGAAATTTAAAAATTTGAATTTTATTTGGTTTTTGACGCCATCAGACACCCTTAAACGTATTTAAACAGTGTTTATACTTGGTGTTCAGAGAAAATCCCTTCCGTCCTTCATTCGCCCTTAAAATATAATTTGAATTGAGATTTTGCTTTAATCTTATGAAGTTTTACTTAATTCACGCACCACGAATAATTGGTGTCATTGTCGCTGGAATTCGGGTGGTCGATACCACTGCATGGCATTCGCTTCATATTGCTTTTCCTGTTTTATTGTTTTTCGCTAGGAGAAGGTTTATTGTTAATGTTAATCGCTTATAGTTATAGTCGCCGCTAGTTATTACCTTCATCAACAATCGCCCTGAAATTGCTTACTAGTATTCATCCTGCATTCATGCAATCATTAACCATGCATTATTTTTTGAGGAGAAAACCCTTCTAAACTTTGTAAATCGTTTCTTTGTTCATTATTTTTTGGGTTCACCGAAATCATCGAAATTTGAGCAGTCAACCTGGATAAACATTGTCGCGTTCATGCTGTCGATCGCGTTAGACCTATGTGGCAATTAATCTAAACAAGGCTGAAATATACCCGAGTTTCTAGGTCCCCTAAAGATAGTAAACCACGGTTCACTGGATCATAGGAGATAACCGACGAGATTTTAGAGCTGCAGGAAATGGATGCAGCTCAAAAAATAAATTCCATCTAAGTAGCCTGAATATTTCAGACAACAGACCGACCGCTAATAAAAAATTACCGTGAAAGAAACCTGTAAAGGAAAAGATTTTAAGGGCAAAACGGAGAGTCGAGGAAAGAAGCTATTCAGCAATTCGGATGAATATCATCGCTACCTTGCCGAATATTTTTCAAGATTTATTCGTCATGTACGCAATCAACAATAAAACGCAATAAGACCACGTAAAATAAGCTTATTCAGATGCAAAATTGCGCGCAGCAATAATCAATTGAGTGAAGACCAATTGCTATTCCCTTTTTCCGCACGACATATCTTCATATTCCGTTCGACGAAACAATTGTATATGATGCTATTCAGCAAAACGGGCTTAGGAAAGATTCTCTAAGACAACGGATATATTATAAGAGCTGCTCGCATTAAAAAGGCTCCGTCGTCGAACATCTTCACCATCTTAAAATTCAAAAATTCGTCGTGACGCTGTGGCTAAGAAAAATTCCAATAGTCGTGAAGGGAAAACATAAATAAGTTAAAAATCTCATTTCGGAATATTCATGGAGAATTCATGCAAAAATGAAGTCCATTCTATTTCTTCCAATATGAAAATACAAAGACTCGATTTTAACATCGATGTCAAGATGAAGTTTCGATTCAAATTTCGATTCCTGTGAAAACATGATAAAGTTCATTCCGCGTCATTATATTGTCATTTCCAAGTGGGTTTCGACAATATCGATAAACTCACCGATAAACTCTAAGATTTCAAGATTACGATTAAACGGTGGGAAGTCGACTGACGAGCAGGCGAGTTATAACGAAACCGATCTCGACGTTCTCATTCGGAACAAACTTGCTAAAAACTACCGATTACTATTGAGGAGCTCGATGTAAAGTGAATGAAATTTTCGATTTACTGATTACGATATAATTATAATTTTTGAATGGATTTCCAAATTTTCGACTGCTTAAGGGAGGATTCCAAAAATGAGATTGCAATAAAATAACTTCACGATAATTTCACGAGAAAATTTCAAATCTTATCATCTTTTTTCGTTACTAGGAAATTAACATAATTAACTAGTATATTTTCATAATAATATTAATATCTAAAATATATAAAACTATATAAAATTCCTTACGAGTCTTACTCAACTATAGGTCCTCTACTTGAAGCATGGGTGCTTGATGCAGTATCTTAGCTATCACTGCGCATTTTCGGACAGAGATCTCTGTTGTTCTTGGAATCTGTTGAAGCCACTTTTCTAGTTTGGCGATCACAGCTCGTAATGCTCCTATTACCATTAGGGCTACTTTTGGCCTTCACTTTCCACATCTTTCCTTCTCACGTCTTCACCTTCCTCTTTTAACCCTTGTATTTCTCTAAAATCTCATATTTGTTCCTAACGTTCAGTTCTGATTTGTGATTCTTTTCTATAATCACGACCAGTAATTATTTATGTTTCTGGATGAGGAATCCTAACAGGATCTTGGTCTCGTTGTTTTCGATTTTCTAGGGAATCTCTTATCTGGTGTTGGAAGAGTCTAAGCCATATTCTTGTAGACAATGCCAATACACGCAAATATATAAGATAAACAACTATAATACAAATGCGAATATATAAAAAAACAAATAAATAAATAATTTTTTAAGATTAAGAAACTAATTGTTCTTCTAACAGCTCTCAGCTGGTTAGACTGATTGCACTGGCTACAAGAGTAAAACGCTTCCAAGTTGCGCGATGTCGACAGTAATAGAAGTTATTCCTTTTTCCATCATCTAAGTCCATATAATGCTGGTCCATATACGGTCATAACCTTTTCTGACCATATCAATCCACGTTGATTGGCCCACCTCGTTTTTGATGCCACCCATCACAGGTTTAGCAAGTAACGAAATATATGTCAACTTTTGTGGTGGGCGACGAAAAATATGCTCTAACCAGCGAAGGCGATGCTCTGTGATGGTACTGTTAATACAAGTGGTATTTGAATGAAGGTAAATGCGATCAATTTCATAAACAAAATATAGCTAACATTTGACTCCCCATATTGAAGGTATTTCGGTAATTATGCATAAGAGATTTCTGAAGTGACCACCAAGAAATTCTTCAATGCAGATTATTTCTTTTCACTTTCACTTACATTCACTTGAAGCTTCCTTATTAATATATGGGTAAATCTTCCCGTGACCTAGCCAATAATGAACGTCGCTGATATACTCATATTAAACTGCTTTCCTACTGCACCCTTATGATAAAAAATCTAAATTGGAGTCTAAACAACTCAAAAATGATTACCCTTAGTTTACACATAAATGGCACAACTCGATTATCTAAACAGTGTCGCCGAAAGATTGTATATTTGCATAGTTCTGTCCTGGTTCTTTTCTTTTTCCCTCGCCTTCGTGTCGATTTTTTGCTTCTCCGTCCTCTTTGTCCTTCTAGGAAGCCTCTCCTAGTGTCGTACTGCTTCCTCATAAAAAAATGCTCGTCTTTTTCTCCACTTTCCTCCATCGCTTACTATTTTAAATCGCAAATATTTCTGGCTTGGCTACTTACTGAGACGACACTCCTTCACCTTGCACCACAAGAGGAAAGAAGTGCAGATAAGTACCCAGAATCACCCAGATTTTCTTTTAATTCAAACCATCTTCTTGTCTCCCATTATAATCACATTCCTTCCACCCTCCGTTTCTACTACATTTCTCAGCAAATAAGAACTCATAAGATCCTACAAAATCATAAAGAAAAAACAGAACAAATATCTCAAAAAATCACTAATAAATTAATAGCTGATTTCACTTATAACTTAAATTAACGAATTAAATAATTCCCTTCCGCATGGTTAACTAAAAACTCCAAAAAAATTGAATCGATTCGAAAATTCGAAGCTGGAAAAAACGACTGCACTTTCATTAACCACTGGAAGACTATCAAAACAAAAACTAAAAAGTGCTTTTATTGTGGGAGACAGGATAGCCGAGTACCGTTGCGTCGGAATTTAAACTCTGCCTCTGGCAGAACAAATGTCTCTAAAAGTCCAGTTGAATCCGTGAGTACGCGCATATGTCCACCCTCCATCCTTATTTTTTTATCCTCGAGTGCGCATCGAAAATCTTCTATACGAAGAATAAGTTTAATAAGTTTTGTAATCTAAAACAATGGAAAAATTACAAAAAAGAGAAAGAATTAAGCAAATATAGAATTAGAAATTGCAATTAAAAATAGAGAAAATTTCAAAAAGCTAAAAAAATGCTTTTTTAAATTCAATATTCAATAAAAATTAACTTAATATTATTAGTACATAGTTAATTATTATAAACGAAAAAAAGGAAGAAAAGCTTCATGGAATGTTAAAGGTATAAATGGTGGAAAAAAAGCCCCAAGTCACCAATTCCTCGCATGTCAGCTCCGTTCTAAGGTAAAAAATGATTAGTACCCTGAGGACCTCACAGAACCAAATAAAACACAATGAGCAGCCAGCACGTGCAACATTCAATAAATTTGCGGCCCTAGCTCGAGGTTGAATTTTTTAAATTAATAGAAAAAATTTGCTCCTTTTAATTTCTATTTTTTAGTGATAAGTTTATTGAAGATAAGGTCCGAACTTTTGCCTACGAACACAGTTGACAGCAAATAAAGAATCAAGAAATTCAACGTATGGGCTTTCCTCATTTAGCCTTCGACTATAATAAGCGGTGGTTAATTAGCATACACGATTTCCGACTAAGTGCTTGGAACTCCGCCTTCGCTTCATTGACTCTTAGTTAGTGCGGCGAGGAGACTTTGAGCCGAAGGAAGGACTTTAGAGACTTACAAGCGATTCGAATCAAGCATATAATTAGTTTAGTTTTGCTCTTATAACTTGCTGGTTGTCGTTGAAACTGAAATCGAAATTAGGCCTGCTTCTATTCCTAAATGACTCCCATTTGTACGGGGTGCCAAAATAAAGAATGGTGAACGATATCAGAAAATTCGCAATACAATATTTTTTAAAATTATAATAGTCGAGAACAACCGAAAAAATATTTATGAAAAATATTGATTAAAAATTAATTAATTTTATTTTAAATTATGAATTGTTAATAATTATTAATCATTTCCATTGTTAACTTTATTATTTTAAAAGAATTGATAATTTTTTAGTAATTCGTATTTTAATATTAACATTTCATGAATTCGCACCTTAATGGTGCTGACGATCCTGAGGACAACGATTTTTCACTGTACTAACTAGCAGCTAAAGGAGCGAGGAGTCTAATCGTTTAACTAGTTACTGGCCCTTATATAAGCATAGTGATAGAATTTTTTATGAAAAATTTTGTTCGATGAAAAAATAAGAACTGAACTTTTCCGAGAAAGAAGCGAAGAAAAATTTTGCTTTTCTCTTCTTCATATTCTTTGCTTGGCATATAATAATGTCATTATTGGTTATAGTTAATAGAAGTGACGAATTAAGAATATGAGTTTTGCTGGCACAGCGGTTTTATAACCAATCAGTTTTTTTCATCAACTCGGTTTTTTCAGCGAATTATGACGATCCGAGCGGTGTTGCTCTACGGCCTGCCCATCAGTACTTCAACTGGCTTCTGACGAAATTGTCCATTTAATGATATGTAAAATTTCTTTTAGCAGTTCTAATGAGGAAAACAAGTGGTTAGTGCTCATCATTTCTGGTTAAGCAAGCTCCTCTGGCAGTCAGAAATTTTAGCGAGCGAATCAGTTGGCAACAGTATCAGTTGGTTCTTTAATGAAAGATTTACTTCAGCAGGAGGCGTAGCACTCACCCTCAACAATCTGTGCTAGAAACCACTCTGATTTCCTACCCACCAGCAATTTTAATAAAATATTACAATTTGCAATTAAATTTCATATCGTCGCTGCATTTCTGAATTATGAATTTCTTCACTTATCATATTTCACAAAGCCATAGTTTCTCAAATAAATTTCAAGTTAAATAATAGCCATAGGCGATACATTTTGAATAACAAATATTAAAAGACGTTTTTAATTTCTGAGTGAGAAGGCAAAGCCCGAATGGTGAGTTAATTCTTCTTCGAGTGGGGAGTGGCATGATGTCCGTAGATTTTTATGCAGTTATTGAAGGCTGCGAGCATAAATAAGCGCAGTGGCAAGTTGTGCAAATATCTAATTTCTTCTCATTCTTCTTCTGCCAGTTTTTTCTACAACTATATTTTATCACCATAATTACGCTGCTCACATGCAGCCACATGCACTCGATATCGATATTTTATTAATGTCGCCTTTTAGCTAAATATTTACTCGAGAAACGAATCATTCACCAGTAATATATTGTCTATGAATTTTTTCTTTGCATAAATATATCAATTATTTTCAGCTATTTCTTATAAATAATTTCATGGTTCCTTGAAATCATACTTTACAATCTTGAAATTCATTCATGATTAATGAATACTGGAGATTCATTGGAATGTAAGGTCGCGAACATATGCATCTCAGATTTTTGTTCACCTTCGCCTTCACTTGCATTGCAGAACTGCATAGTGCAGATATATGTGCATATTGTCACTGCGACCAGCAGACAGCAACAGCTACATGCACTGGACGACATGTTTTATTGCGGTCCATTCTCCTTCCAACATGGGTTTATCATTTACACTTTTCTCGTTTATCTTTAAGGCATTTACCACATTTTGCATACAATGCAAAACTTAAAACTCTTAGAATCAACCGTTGTGGATTAACGCATATTCATCCACACTCATTAAACTCATTACCAGCTCTTGAAATATTAGATCTCTCCGATAATTTACTTACTGAATTGCCTAAAAAATGTTTGTACGAGATAAAAAATTTAAAAATACTGAACCTTGCGCATAATAAATTTCGAAATTTGCATCAAATCACTGATATATTGTTTCCGCATCATATCCTTGACCAACTAAATTTTAATGCTAATCCGATCGAAGTTTGCTTTAGTGGCGTACGAATACCACTCACGCGTCAGCTTTTTTTTGCTGATTCCAATATACATTTTATTAATGCCACATCCATAATATTTACGGCAAGCGAGCAATGTTTTGTGGATGTCAACTGTAGGATACTTGAAATGAGTGAGCAACATTGGACAACTCTAAGAACGCTTGATGTTTCATCACAACTACAGTTAAGTGTTCACTCGTCAGCCTTAAAAGTATTCACTAATTTAACGATGCTGAACTTAAATCAAGCGCGATTACCTGATTTATTTGCTTCATGGTTAATGAATTCAGCACAAGTCAGTTATCTGAATCTTAGTCATGCATTAATCCTGAATATGGAAGAGAACTGGAGATACTGTTCAGAATATCTTCAATGGTTAGATATATCCTATATGAATCTCAAGGAATTATATATTAATGGATCTTGTAATTTAAGGTATTTAAAAGCCACCGATAATGCACTTCATAAAGTGGTAATAGCAACTACTTCATTACAATCACTTTTCCTAGATCGAAACAATCTGACATCATGGATTACATTGCCACCTGGCATAGCCTTAAGCCAACTGCAAACTTTTTCAATTTCCAGTAATAAAATAGCTTTTTTGCCAGATGGCTCTGTGACACATTATCCTCAGTTGCAACACCTTGACTTATCGAAAAATTTAATATCAAATCTTTCATCGCGATCATTTCCATCAGTTGGAATGCAGATTCGTTCACTAAACATTTCCCATAACAGGCTGAAGTCATTTGTGCATCCAGTTTTACCTTCATTGATACTTCTCGATTTATCATATAACGAGCTCACCGATCTTGATCCACATCTTCTAAAGGGATTACCAATGCTTCAGTATTTCTATTTGACACATAACAGAAGAATATTTTCGCGTTGCAATTCGTTTTGTTGGTTATCATCATTAGATCAGTTATTCAATCTCATTGACTTGGATCTTTCCAGTTGTAGGCTGGACTTTGTTCCTAATTTAAGTCAATTTCCAGCGTTACGTAGGCTTGATTTATCCAGAAACAATATTTATTTGTTGGATGCTTCATTATTACCAAAAAATTTAATAAGTCTAGATGCAAGTAATAATCATATTCATTCAATTGCCAATTTCACCACCATGAGATTAAAAAATTTGAAGGATTTAAATTTAGCGAAAAATCCACTAAACTGTGAATGCAAACTTAGTGAACTGATATATTTATTCAGCAATGATACATATTATAAATCCGATTATTATTACTGTTTTTATGGTACTTGGAAGTATTCACTGCAATTTTATGTGAAAAATATGCAACTCTGTACGTCATCGTCGAAATTTTTACCTACTTTTCTATATTTTGTGCTATTTCTAATTGGTCTTATTGGAGCAATTATCATAATCCTTGGAGCGTCGAAAACATTTTTGAAACGTTCTATAAATTGTCTGCCAGTCTCATTCACATATCGGCCATTAACCTCAAATGAAACAGCTGTCGCAGATCTATAGGTGTCTATATTCTAAATTTTTTTGCATTCCTTCTTATAAAATAATTACCTGAAACTCTTTGGTTAGCGAACAAACTTGCCAACCAGATTGCATATTAGTGGATAATTCAAAATATCATATTCATTTTCAATATAAAGCGGGAGAAACTCTCCCAATAACCAGAATTCCTTTCAATCTTTTAAATTAAAAATAGAACTCGATTTGATCGAGTTAAATTTATTATTTCTTCTTTACCTGCTTCATCATCCTCCAGCACTTCTGCTTTGGCTACTAAAATGGGGATTTTTTATTAGAGAGTCACTTGGAGCATAAAGTTATATGTGGCAACATCCGAATTTACATAGGACAAATCTATTAGATGCATCGATAACAAAGAGTAATTAGCCCGAGGAAAAGATGATTCTCCTGATTTCTTTAATTTATTTATCTTCTCGTTTACAGAATTTTTCGAATCCATAAGAATTTGTAATTTGTATTTAATTGAGAATAATTATCTCATTTGATAAAATGCTTCTTTTTGTAAATTCATTGCCGGTTGAGGAAGTGCCTGATTTCAAATATCTTCCACTCTAATACCAAATGGACAGGCAAAGATGATATTACAACTCGGATCACGGCAGCTAGAAATGCAATCTTCCAGTTGACGAAACCTTTATGGAATCGTCGTGAAATCACCATAAAAACGAAAATTAGCATCTATATTGCCGTGATCCGTTCGATCTATTATATGGTTCTGAGACATGGCCAATGAGAGTGGAGGATATTAAGAAGTTATTTGCTTTTGACCATTCTTGTCTAAGGTACATTACGGATCCGTCGAGCGGATAAGATATCACAAGATCGCATCCATCTTCATTCAAATACAATTTATTATTAATAATGTTAAGACAGGGCGTTACCTTCGTTGGTTAGGGCACATTCTCCACCACAGGAATTGACGCATATTTCGTTATTTGCCAAACGTTTGATGGTTAGCGCCAAAAACGAAGTGGGCCAAACAAAACCTGCACTGATACGGTGAGAAAAGATTTTGAACGTATAGGTGTATCAGCAATATATGGACTTAGACGATGGAAAAGGGAATGGCTTCTATTACTGCTGACAATAGCACAAGACCGCGCCGCTTGGAAACACCTTACCCTTGTAGCCAATGGAGTCAGCCTAAGCAGCATTGTTGAGAGATATTCGAAGAAGAAAAGAATTATCTCATTTAACAACTAAGCCAAATAAAAATTATGTGCAATCAATCGTCAATCAATCGTTATGAGAAAATATTGGCTATGAAAAATTAAATTGGAAAGTTGAATGTTGAAATTAAGTTGGTTGTTTAGAAAAAAATCCATCTTTGATGCACAAAAATTTAATATTATGAAAAAAAAGTACTAAATAAATAAAATGCAGTTCAATAAAACATTTTTAAAATATTTTTATTTAATTCCAACAAAAATGATGAACCATGTTAATTTATTAACTGAGAGCAGATATTTATTATTAGCCGAGTACAAGCCTTGGCCAAAGGCTTGGCCAAAGCCAAATCGTTGGCCAAGCCACAAAACGAGCGTTTGGCTTCGTCTATGCCTAGGAATGAGGCTATCAAATCGGACAACTTGTTTCAGTGGGCTCATTCGAAAAGCCGAAATGATCCTAATGACTCCCCCGCTCATATACTTCTATCTCTAGCTGATTCTACTGTCCACCTTTCTTGTTTTTTATTGTCCAACTAGTAATAATTTATTTTTTCTCAATATTGTATCTTTCTAGTATTATAGTCTGTATTTTTTATTACTGCATTCATTACTGCAAAAATTATTTCGATCTGATGCAGTCATAATTTCCATAACAGTTGATTTTTGAATAACCTTATTAATACTCTTTTTGAAACGAAGGGAGAAAAAGTTATGGTCAGGGAATTCGTTCCAATAATTCGTCAGATGAAGAAAATAAATGGAATATTATAATAATTTAAATGATAAATGTAAATTTAATAAATAAATTTGGAAAATTTTCATTCAAATTTTGGAAAATAAATTCCATAAAAAAAGATGAGAAAAAGAATTTTTGAAAATCCTTAGTTTTTTTTTATTTTCACCAGAAAAATTGATAAAATTCTAATTTTTATATTCAAGAAGAGAAAGCATTTCGTATCTCTTGTTGGCTAAAACTTTTCACGAAAAATTCATATATATTTATTTAACACATTTTTTCCATACCTCCCGTCTCAGTTTAATCCACAGAGTAGGAAAAGATGCATCGAATTTTCATTTTCTTCATTGGTCTGCGAGCAATAAATCTATAAATAGATCACCAGATCATTCGGATTTAATAGCACTTTTGGAGCCAAAGAACCCATAACGCTTGAAGGTTTGGCCAAAGTAACATATCTCTGTATCTATAGTCTATTTCTTTATTTTCTTTATCACTTTCGTGTTATATTTCTAATTTTTCTATGTCTTTTCCTAACATTTTTTGGCTTTGGTTCTAGTTCCATTGCCTTTTTGAATAAGGTCATTTCGCCAGACAGTCATTTGGAGATACAAGTGGTTGTGGATTTTTAGTACCATTAGGAGCTTATGGAGTCAACATTCGAACATGTCATTCCTAACTTTTTTATTACAATTCGATTTATTCTTTATTCTTTGTGCTCTTGATTTAATTTTAACAGTTGATGATTAGGTTCTCATTTTTTCCTATAAAAGAAATAGAAAAAGCAAAGTTAAGAATGGAACTAAATTAAATAAAATTGTCGTCAACTAACGAGATTTCTGATATCCATTATAATCTCTTCGCTTATCTATGCTTATCTTCTTAAGATCAATAACTGAAATTTCCTTCAACACTTTGAATCAAACTTGATTTATTGCTAGGAATATTCATATTTCTCAAGGGAACGACACTGGCATAATTATCGAAAACTGCCAAAGCAGATCATAATTTTGCAAAAAAATTCCACTAAAGTTCCATTGATTTTAGTAAAATGGCAGTGGGTAAAATAGTCATCGAAAGCCAATTATTTTATGCACCATATATGTACCAAGTAGAATTTTTTAGGTTTCTCATCTAATAATTTGACCGACAGTCTTCCACCAAAGAATCAGTTGAGAATCAGTAGAAGTTTCAGTTTACTCCTACCGTTTGACGAATGGTATCATTTTTATTAAATTGACCAACTACGCACTAGATAAGCTGACTCCATTGTTTACAAAGGTGAAGCGTTTTAACTCACCATTCATTTGGAATTGAAGTTGCGATTAGAATGACTCAGTGGGATGTTGCAGAGATGCTGAGGTTCTACTCCCCTCAGGGATAAACCTATTCAAAAATCCGGGTAATGTTGGCGATTCACCTGCTTTTCTATCGCCAAAAGACTCCCTGGCATATTTGCCAGTACGATAAGCCAGCGAAACGACTCTAACCAGCAATGATGAGGACTCTTTAAAAAAAAGCGGTGCAATTAATGATGCAATTAAATAACGATTTCCTATTCTCTAAATTCATAAAACATGAGCCAATTGGTAACTAATTTGATATAAATTTTCATTATTTATGCTAAGCTCCTCGAAATTAATGATTTCAGCATTTCAGCCATGGAGAATTTTACGAATAAGTGAATATTTGACGAATGGTATCATTTCCATCAAATTAACCAGTTTTCATCTTCTACTGGCTCTAAAACTGCATTTTTACTCATCTTCTTACCAACAGATTGTTTTCCACTTATGTGATATCTTGCATCAAGTCATTCCTATGTCATAGCTTGTAAAGGGGTCTGTGAGGCCATTTCAGATGGATTATTTACGTGCTTGGAGTTATTAATGAAAGTCGTTGGCCTACTGGGTTATAGGCAAATTTTAGTGAATCTCAGTTATGATTGTTGAATAATAAAAATTTTTATTATATTTGCTTTTTCAATTTATCAGTTAATATTTTGCATAAGAAATTATAGAAATTACTAAAATAATTTTTCTAACATATAATTCGTAATTTTAGTTGCAAAAAATTTTGGCAAATAGCGTTTTGGAGAAAATTCAGACTTGGATACGGAGCAATTCGCCATTAATTTTCGACTTTCGACTAAAACTAACACTTTTTATTTGACCTTCGATGATGATGACCTTTAATATTTTCTTGCACAATTGAGGTAAAAAAATGCCCATATTGTTCCATAGATTAGTTTCAAAACCTCAAATTGTACTTGTCGAGTAATAAAATCAACGCTTTTCTCTTTTCTTCCTTCCCATAGCACTCAACTTTGGTTTAGCTGCTCACCTAATAATTTGACCGACAGTCTTCCGCCAAAGAATCAGTTGAGAATCAGTAGAAGTTTCAGTAAGAGGTATATTTCTGTCGCGAACGGTGCGTTAGTGCTCAATTTCGATCAGAGCACCAGTTCACCATCCATTGCTTTTGTTCTTCTTTATTATAAATTTTGCAGTTCTTTTATTTTTCATATTCTTAATATCATTCAAATGTTTAAAGGAATGAAATTTTCACAGAAAAATAATTGAAAAGCCCTTTCTTGTTTGCAAAATTACAAAATTTTCACCACTGACTACAATTATATATTGATGGCGCTTTACCAATTTAACCAACTTCAATAATTTTTAAAATGACCATCTTTCCCCATATGGATAAATACAGCAGCAGCCATGCGAATTTTGCTTTCAATGAAATGTTTTTCCCCATGAACACAAAAACCGAAACGCAGTTACTTGCCTTCACAGCCAAAGCAACACGTAACCACCTAAGACGACTTAACTAATTACATAAAATAATCAGGGGATGGCTCAGTGGCTTGTTCCTCAATTGGGAGCACCGATGCTGAAGTTCAATTTCCCGCAGGAGTAAACCTGAACATACAAAAAACCGGGTGATGCTGGCGACTCACCTGCATTTCTATCGCCAAAGGACACCCTGGCATATTCCCCAATGCGACAAGCTAGTGGAGCGAGTTTAACCAATAATGGTGAGGGCTCTTAAGGAAAAAAAGAAAAAAGACATACAACAACTAATCAATTTTTAGTGAAAAAGATGAAAAAAATGCTTCTACCATTTCTTTCTTTGTTTCATAAATCTGTAAGTTTGAAAAGCTCAGATGCAAATTTCGGAATTCCAAATAAAAAATCATAATTTAGTATACTGCGGCAAAAAAATGCGATATTTAGTTTCCTTGACTCCTTCTAACAGCATTAAGCATTTTCGACCGGAGCAGTACCACTGACTCACCAGAGAGTAAGTTAGGATTAGAGGTACAGATCGCTCTAATTCGCTAATTATTTAAAAATAACAATAAAGCTGAATTAGATTCATTTGAGAAATTGAAACGAGGGAAACTGATAAAAGAAAAAAATAATACTATAACAATGAACGAAAAAAAAAGCATATTCAAGCATATTCAAGTAAAACATATTCAATAAATTCAACATCTGAAGAACTGAAAGAATTCCAGAAAAAAAAATCCCAAAAGAACAACAAAAACCGATAAAAATTAATTAATTAATAAAAATCGAGAACTCTATCCGAGTTAAATTCTAAAAAAGCCTACAATTATTTGAAACTCTAAAACTGACGGAATTTCGCTTCCATGAAGTTCCATTTATTTACAACATCATCACATTTTCATAAGCCTTTTATTAAAATTTAATAAAAAAAACTTTTCATTACAGTTTTCCACAAAACATTGAAAATATAAAAATATAAGGAATTAAAATAAAATTAAACGAATTGAGAAATTGTGAGAAATGTTTTTGGTAGAAAATTATTACTCATTTATCACGACTTTTATAATATTCATTGAGTTTTTTTTCAATAATTGCCATCATTTCACTTGGTTTAGGCAATTTAGGAATCTATGAACATAAAAAAAATTAATATAAAGAAACTGTATATTTATTATTATATTTATTCATATAAAATATTTATTCATTAATTTAAAAATAAGTTATTTAAAAATTAGTTGTTATCAAAATTCGAAACACTTTTTGAATTTCGTAATCTTTAACTTTTTTTAAATAAGCAAAAAGTAATTTCTAGCAACCTCATATCGCTGATCCAAAAAAATTCCTGCATACAAACCAACGGCGAATGAAACCTTAAAAAATTACAAATAAAATGAATATTATAAATATATATTAAATTTTATAAATAAACAAATAAAATAAAAGAAAACTGCAAATAAAAAACACAACAAACTGAATATAAAGTGATATTTTCAGAAATTTTTTTTTTAAATTTAACGAATAATTTATAACTTATAAAACATATAATTATAATTATATACATATTATTATACATATACATATAATTATATAATTTATAACTTATTTGTAACTTATAACTTATAAAAAAATAAAAAATAAGTGTGAAAATGTAATTCTAACCCAGAAAAAAAGGGGAATATAACCATATAAAATTACTTTATATACATTTACTTAACTGGAAAATTAACAGAGTATAAAATAACAAATGATAGGGTTTTCTATTCGTAATATCTGAAAGCCTATTTACAGCCCATTTCATGCTTCACACAATCTTTGCACATATTGCTGCAGCTCATTTTTATATTTTTGCAGATAACTTCATTCCAAATCCCATTATCTCTCTTCATCTCATCTACTTCCAACTTTCTTGTGCCACTCCTTCTTAAATCTCCGTCACTTTAACAGTAAATTACAACTGCTTAATACCATCACGATCTGTTCGTATGCATTTCGATGCAATAAAAGCTTCGTAGAATCGTTTGTATGTCCTATAAAAAATTCCTTTTGACAGAGTACACCAGGATTTTGAGGAAAACAAGGATGCCGCAATTTCCGAAAGTGTACAACGATTTGCCAGCCATTTAGGGCAAAAGAGAACAATTAGGATCAACGAATAATAAAGAGAAAAAGCAGGGTTCAAAGGACACTAAAAAAATACTAACAAATGATCTTCTTTTTAGGATTCCTTTATATACTAAATTATTCGCAGATAAGCTACTGTGCAAAGATTAAATGAGTTGCAAATCACATTACGAAGAGAACTGCAATTATTACGAAATAGGGTGAAAACAAAAAAATACTGAAAAACAAAAACCCACCAAATATTTGAGCATCGATTTCAGTGGTCGAAAGTGCAACAACAGCCGATTTATTACAATAACTGGAAAAGAGTACTCGAGTTGGTTTACCTGGTGCGCAACTGGGAAAGCTTCTCGATAAAACTGATTCGCTGAAAACGCTAAGTGATACAAGGCCATATAACAGAGGACACATGCATGCCATGCGTTCATCCTTCAACTTTTCTTACTTTACCTATTTTCATTCGCCATACTGCCAACGAGAACCAGCCGCCTTCTCGCCTCTACAACCTACTTTTGTCAATGAGCTATTCCCTCACCTAATATAGCCCACCCGACTCATAATCCTGCAGCTGAATAAAGAAGGATAATACGAGAATTAGAAAGACAAAAAATCAGACGAAGCTCAGTCACGGACGCAGTGCATTTGAGTGCATTTTAAAGAACTGTGGAGAATACGTTTAGAAGGAAAAGACCCGCAAGTTGAAATCAAATTGAGCGAGAATTGCGACAAAAGTTGACAAATATTACGGCAGGTGAACGGAATATTAATAACGGACCTGAATTGCCACCTGAATGACACCATTCTTTTTGGTTCGCTGCACTGGCAGTCCGAGTCAGTGAGTGCATTTCGCAGTTGTTATTTGCGAGATATGGGCAATATGTATTTTTGTTCTAGCAGGATGTAAAATTTTTGCTTGCTTCGATAAATTGGTTCAAAAAGCACCATTTTCCGCCACCATCGGAATCCTCCAGGGGACACGCATACCTAATATCCGGATTTTAGTCAGTCTTGATGAGGTTTCCCATTAATAGATTTGTTTTGCGGTGGGTCACTCGGGAATCCCACCCCTTCCACTATATTTTAATGCCTAATCACGAGCATTTCCAATTTGCTAAATTCTATGTACATGGAGGTGTGAGTTCGACCTCCGGTGCGCCCTGACCTAATGCAGAGATGAAAATCTGTGCTCAACTAAACGTGACTCCTCCTCTGTATTGCCATAAATGACAGCTGCGGCACTCCTCTCTTCAACTGAGAAATGCTTGACGAAGGTTTTGCCAATTAAATAAAATTGTAAATAAAATGTGCAATGATAAAATGATAATACAAAATTCGTAATAAAATAAAATAAGACTTCGGTTTTAAAAAACTTGGATTTTCAATTTTTTTTATATTTCGTCGAATTTCGCAAATTTTCATTCTTTTAATGAAGTATAATTTTCGTTTTAAGATTGTCCTTCGCCCATTCAAATATTTTTTAAAATATTTCGAAGATTTAACTATATTTCGAAAAATAATTTCCTATTAAAATCAATAATAATCAAGAAACAAGAATCAGTGATCGATTTGTGATCGATTGGTAAATCAATAACCGTCTTTTTCCCGCCAAGAATGTTCGATTATTCTTATTGTTTTTTAAAATTATTTTAATTAATTTTTGAGAAAAAAAACCAAAAAATAATCGACTTTCTCCCTATTCAACTGATTATTTTTATTATTCTTTAAAATTAAAAGTCAATAATCGGCTTTTCCCGCTTTCAATCGATGATTTTAAATTATTTATTTTAAATTATTTCAAATTATTTAAATTTTATAGTATTTTTCAAAATACCATTCTTTATTATACGAAATCATTTTTGTTTCATACTTTTTAAAATATTTAAAAATTTAAAAAAACCAAAAAAGTCAAAGGTTATCTGATTTTTGTGGGCGTGGCAAGATTTTCTCCGCCCCTACATGGCCTCTATAAAACTAGAGGTCCTCTTATTACACATCATTGTGTTATTATGGCCCGAACGAAGCAGACGGCGCGCAAGTCAACTGGTGGTAAGGCACCTCGCAAGCAATTAGCAACGAAAGCGGCAAGGAAGTCTGCTCCCGCCACGGGCGGCGTGAAGAAGCCACATCGTTATCGTCCTGGAACTGTTGCGCTTAGAGAGATTCGACGTTATCAGAAGTCGACTGAACTTTTGATTCGTAAATTGCCTTTCCAACGTTTGGTACGTGAGATAGCGCAAGATTTCAAAACTGATTTACGCTTCCAGTCTTCGGCAGTGCTTGCGTTGCAGGAAGCGAGCGAAGCGTATTTGGTTGGACTTTTTGAAGATACGAATTTATGCGCTATCCATGCGAAACGTGTAACCATTATGCCGAAGGACATACAGCTGGCGCGTCGCATACGTGGGGAAAGGGCGTAAATTGTTTCCATACTATGGTGGATGGTGACTGGGGTGCCTGTTTCGTCGAAATGGTCCTCATTAGGACCACTTTTTAAATTGACTCCAACGGTCCTCTTTAGGACCTCTAGTTGATGAATATCAAGCCTCAATCCACAATCAGCCCGTTTCTCATAAAATCTTGTAGTTATGTAGTCTTTTCTGCGGTATTTAGCAGTGTTTGAAATCGACGAGGAGCTGCGCTAGCTGTCGATTATGCGATATCGATTGGATATTTTGGCGCTCACCGGGTGCAGGGTGGTTATCGATTTCTAACATCGATCAAATGTTTAGTTTCATGGGTTGTTTCAGTATTTTTTAAATAAATAATTTGTAATATTGTGATGTTTTGTGAAATTTTGTTGAAGTTGTTTAAAGCATAAGTTTGAATAAAATTTTTAACAAAACGAACCGTGAACGGAACTCCTTGAAGTAATTAGCCACTGTGAAGTAATCATGGTGAGGGCGTATTGTATCACATAATATGAGGAAATAAGTGGTGGCGTGGCTTGCATAGCCTTTGCGAAACTATTTATCACTAAAAAACCGAGCTGCTGCGGACGATGCGTCGTTACTGCTACAGTCGCCTGCCTGGCACTCATATTTTTATTCACGTTAAAATGAATATTTCAGTTTTTTTGTCCCATTTCTTGTGAGACTGACTACTTACACAAGGAGTCCCGTGGAAGTCGTTTCCACGGTGAATGTCACAACCACATAGAAAAAAGTGCATTTCACCCTTACTGCCTATTAATGTAAAACAATTATATGCACCAAAATGTTTTAACCAGTCTCTTAAATGTCAGGCTAGCGGACGATGAACGCACTTTTTAATGACTTGTTTGCGTCAGTGATTATGAATATGAAAATTATATTTTTCGTATTCCCATTCAAATTCGAATTGATTTTTCATTATTTGGTAATCTTCGTGATTTGAATATTGAATATTTCCCTAAAATTATTATTCAAACTAATTTTTCCTGCAAATTTGTTTCATATTTTAACAAAAATCAATTAAATTTATGAAATATCAATAATGCCTTGGTGATAGAGTACAGGTGAGTCGCCAGCATCACTCGGATTTTGGTACAGGTTTATTCCTGTGGGGATTCGAACCTCAGCATCGGCGCTCCAAGTTGAACAATAAAGATCGGAAAAAAATTATTTATTGGCCAAATAACAAAAATTTTGTTTTTTAATGAAGAATGAAATTTTATCATCTGCGAGTAACAACGGGATTTCCTGCTTTCACATCTGTTAAATTTGGTATATTCAATTCCTGAAAAATATCTCTAATAAAGAAAATAGTGGAGGAATTGATTAATTATAAAAAGTCATCACTATAGGAATCAATACCAACGTTCACTAATCATGCATGCATCTAAATTTGTCACTTATCCAATCCCAAATCACAATGCCACCTAAGTCATCGTGGTAAGTTTTTCCAAAATCTTTCCTCCCTTTTCATTCACTTTCCCCTCCCCTTTCTTTCCTCCATTTTTCCATTCCTGAAATTTGTTTCATCGGCGTCTTCTTCGCTGACAATTTATATTTTCCGCATCTTTTATTATATCCCTAGATGTTACCACCGCAATGGACTATTTTTACTATTTTGTTTACTTTACTCTAACTTAAAAATAAATAAAGCTAGTGAATTCTGCCGATTTTTTGAAAAAATAGGAGATATATTTTTAAAAAATTTCTTACCATACTTTCAATCATAGCTTTTGTTACTTGATCGACTTCGATAGAAGTGAGCATTTGAGGATCTAAAACAGATATATCAGGCATATAATTATCACGCCGTTCTCTTTCTTCTTCTTGAAGCTTGATCGAAATTCCTCTAACCGGTCCTTTCTCAATACGTTTCATTAAATGTGTTATAAATCTAAAATGCTTTTAATAACCTGATTTAAAATTGAAAAATATATGAGACTACAGATATAATTTATACTACAGAATATAACTTGACATAAATTCAAAGACCTATTAGATAAAAAATTCATAGCGATTCCTTGATCGATATTGTACAATAAAATTATTTTTCAAAAAACTAAAAACTTTTAAAATATTCAAATATTTAAAAAATTTTTCTTCTATTAGCTCTCTGTTTATTTGGCTCGTTCCATTGGAGACTAAGGTAAGGTGCCTTCCATTCTTTGCCTGCCATTCCTGAAAGTGACTGAAACCACTCCTTTTTCAACCATCTAACACACTTTTTTCAAAATCATTCTTGGCTTACCAGCTCTCTTATAACTCATCTCTTGCTTTTGACATTACCCATCAATATTTAGCAGCGAGATACGCTTCAAATCCTATGATGGACGACGAACATCATGAAACCACCAAACACGATGCTTTTTGACGGTGTTATTAATGTGGATGGTATTCATCGAATGTGGATGTAATATGCGATACTTCACTTACTTTATCTACTTAACCAATATCTACTAAGATGCACCTTAGGTAAAAATGGCCAAAAATAAATGATCGCATCCACATAGCAGAAATCGCGTAGTCACACGGATGCGAACTTCTCAACTGTGACTGATTCCAGGGAAGTTTCGCCATACGAAAGAAGGCATCTTTGGCTGCAGCGAGCTGGGATTTAAGACATTGAAGACATAGAAAAACTAATAAAAAAAACAAACCCTGCGATACGATTACGCATTTTTTTGCTTGGAATTACTGCGATTTCTTCACAAATTCGTTTATTTGTATGAAAATCATGCGTAAGTTTCGTATAATATTTTTCAATAATAATACGTGACGCTTTTTTAACAGTTTTTGTGCGAACTCTTCCACAACCCATTTTAATTTATAATATTTATAATTAAATGACTAAAATAAACTATAAGTATAATTTGATAAACTTGACAAAAACGACGATAAATAACAAAGATAAAAATTAATGCGTTTATGAAACATTAAGGTCCACAAAAAATCAGAGGTTCGAGATATCAGAGGATATTATTTATCAAAAAGGGATATAAATCCTTAGGGATAAAAAAGGGATATAACACCCATGCATACCCACATCCGCACCGCACCTTAGCAAAAATTCGACCTAAACTCCCTCCCCAAATTACGACGTGACGTGATTTATCGGCTTACCGTAGCGACACTATAATCGTTTCAAGAATGTATTCATAAAACTACAGCCAAATATTGCACTCGTTCGACCAAATTTTTGCCACTTAAAATCTTTGTTGAATGTTTAGTACAGCAATGACTCTCACAGTAAGATGAATTTCGGGCCGGAAAATCTATTTCAATATGCGAAAGGAATTGTCTTACAAAAAAACTGCCCCAAATCATATGTTCTGGTGCTGTTTCTCGTCCTTTTCCCTGCCCAAATGATGGGAAACAAGGGATGTGGCAAGGAAAAACGTCGCCTAGAAACAAGAACCGCAAAAAATTAAAAGCCTACATAATTTGGTGCCTCGGTCATACCTTTCTATATCCAAACGAATGCAGCTTGGCCGCAGCCTATGTGATAATGCGGCCATCGAAATCTTTTCATAGGTCGTAACCTATATAATAACACGGCCATATTCTCACAATTTCGGGGCATTTTATTAATGATAATGAATAAAATATAGGGAACGTCGTGCTAAATTTGATGTTATTTGCTTCGTTTCTTTTTCTCGCCACATGTGAGGTAGCTCAGGCGAATGGTTTAGATTATCGGGCTGGGAGTTCGGGTTGTGCTTTTAACAGGAATGCTTTATTTAAAAAGAGTTCGGATGGCGGCGTTGATGACCCATCTTCTATTGCTAATGACTGTTTCGCAAAAATTTTTAACCAAACTTGCGCGAGGAACCGCTAGTGAGCACCAACCACTTACGCGATTTTTGAGGTTTTATCTGAAGTCGAAAAAGTATAGGTGGTGCTACGCTTTGATAGCTTTTAATGACGATTTGCTTCCATAGGAAGTTGGAGTAGAATCTATTATGATTATAAAAAAAGCGAGAAATCATTTGGCGATCTCTCCATTAGGATAAATTTTCGTGATGCTCGGGGTGTGATTAATTATATTTTGTGCTTTAATTGTGGTTCTCCCTCCACCAGCTCGCATCATTCCTGCTTGTGCTTGCTTATTTGGCAACAAGGATGAGACATTTCCAAGCCGCTCAATCCGATAACATATCTGAATATGACTGAAGCCATTGTTCGTCCCTTTAAATAATACATTTATTAATACATTTAATTAATTATTTATAAATTTATTTATTTATTGATTTTGACGCTACAGTTCGTGTTTTCCATTGGAATTTGAATTATATTATATTTGAGTTATATTAATTATTATATTTTTATTATGGGTTATTGATTATTTTGATTTTTAGGAAGTTTCATTGTAATTCTTGGATAAGGAAATAATAAAAGGAAATGCAAAGGTGAAGAAAGGATTACTTCTTTAAAGAATAGGGATAATATTAAAGGACGTGCGGTGATCAATATATCTGATCTGTCCAAGCAAGGTTTTATAAAATATTAACGCGTGCCAGGCGAGCCTTATTCCACCGCCTTCAATTATTATTCTGTTTCTTAAACCTTAAGTCTGTATGCAGACGCTTGGTGAAAAACCATTTATTTGTTGAAATTCTTCTTGAAAACGGTTGAGTCGGATGATTTTGGCAAAATTTTTCTAGAGATTCTTAGAAAATCTAATTATTTATCAAATAGTTTACCCTATTTTTTACTAAGCATATAATTTAATACAGAAGAAAATAAGTGGTTGGTGTTCGTCATTTGATTAGACTTGTTTCACTGCTAGTGCGAGACAAACATTAATACTCAGCAGTAATCTGAACAACTCGGTTATCTTTCCTCCTATTCTATTTAGTATTATAACTATTATTTATAAATTATAGTTATTTATTAAATAAATAGGAATACATGGTATTTTATTTGCAGATTAATTCATGAAATAGAAAAGCTCGGAAAATTTTCAAATAAAAATAAATGGCAGATTACAGTTTTATTAACGCGTTTTCAAAATATTTATCTCAGGCCGATGCTTCTTCTCAATATTCACAGTACGCTTTTATTTCAAAATTTTCAAAATTTTTCTAAAATACCGTAGATTTTAATAGTTCTTAACTTATTGCATTTTCCTTATTTTTTACCAATTTTTTTGCGAAATTATGTATAAGCGTTTTTCCTATTCGCTTCCCGATATATCTTCGAAATTCACTGTTTTATTCCTTCCATTGGACAGAAATGATCTCCGGCGAAGCAGTGCCATTTGCCTATCTTGTTTCCAATATAATATAACCCGAATTTGAAATTTTTTCAGCTCAACACCTGTTATAAAAGGACGGAATTCCAATTTAGGTGATGAAATTCCACGGTCTTCAGGAAAATTTAGAAATTGCCGAAAAAATAAAGGTATCTTTCGACTTAGTCAATTTTGTGTCCCTAATAAAATTTCATATTTTATTGGAAATCCGTAATAATTTTCTTGTTTTCCTTCATCTTTTCTCACTCACTACTTCTACTACTCACCAGTTTTAATTTGCCTGACGCTGGTGAAACACATCATTTTATTAGAGAGTCACTAAGAGGTAGAAAAACGACTGGATGTGCAGCTTTTATTCTAGATATCATCTTTAATTTATAAGCTTGTTCCGCCTAGAGATTTGAACCTATAATTAACCTTGATCGAAGAAAGATATCCCTTGACTGTATTTGTATTATGAATGTCATAAATTTAACATTTTGTTATATGATTTGTAAAAATTTTCATTATCTATCTGGTCTAGCTTATGCATTTCAAGGGCCTTGCGGAATTCCTGCGTTAGACGAGGAAAATTTTTTTCCAGTTTTTGAATCCAATAAAGAACTAAATTTACCGATTAACAAAGCAGAATTGGAGACCGATTTTGATTTTGAAGCTAATCTCGCATTATTTGATAAAGATGTTAGTGGAATTTACATTTTTTAATATTACCTATTGTATCACTACATATGACGATAGACAAATATGAAGCATCGTGTTAAAATTTATCATTGATGCGTCACTATTGGTTAGACTGGCTTCATAAGAATGAGGCATTTCCAAATCTCTTATGAAAATAACTGGAATTAAACTGGAATCACTTTTTTAAACCTTCTTGTATCGCTGGATTTTTTTGCATTCAAAATTTTTTTTGGTTGCATAAGTATCTTGATTGAATTTTCGTATTTTGACCAATCTTTGATGGGCGATGAGTATGATTTATGATATTAATGTATGTAGATGCGATTCGAGCGGAGGTTGGTGCAATCATGAGTGATTCTGTCCAGTCGCCAATTATGAAAATATAGTTAATATAGTTAGGCAAAATACATGGTTTCTTCCAATGTTAATGGTCACATTCACCAGCTGTTTGACAGGATTGTGCATATTAGGTGGCGAGGTAATTGTGGACTTTCATTTTAATGTTTTGAATTCGTAGTGGTAAAGGCAGTTCTCTCTTGCTTTGAACTATATCATCTCAATTTATTGTTTTTTTTTCTTTTTTTTTTTAATGGAATATTGTCATATTACGTATGATATGGCTAGACGGAAGGAATCTTTAATTTTACTATGTACTTTTGACCACTTTTACATAATTATATTTATATTTCCGCTAAGTGGACAGAAGGGAGCAGGAAAATCAATAAAACAAGTATTTTTGGGTTGCCAAAATTTCAAATTCTCAAATGACCCTTAATTATGTAAAAGCCACCCACTAATAGAGAAAAGGATGATATCCATTATTCACAATATTAGAGTTCGAATATGTTGACCAAATATATTTGCTAAGACGAGAATTGACTCTGACAACATTTAAGTTTTTCTGGGACGATGGATGGTGAATTATGGTAAATCACAAAGAATTCCCCATTCCCTATTTGGAAAGGTTCTTAAAATCATCAGCATGTTCACTTCTGTTTTATCCTCTGGTCATTTCACTAACCAACTAACCAACTTTCGAGTTTTGCTTTATAAAAGCAGGCGAAACAGTTTTCGATCATTTCATAAATTATTGAACAGCCTTTATATTCAGAGTTATACCATCTATCTTTAATCAAATATATTTGCATGGTTGAAAATTTTTTAGGACATAAGTTTATGTAGCTCTGATGATGAGATCTCATCAAAAAATCCTGTTTATAAAAATGATGAAAATATTTTATCCGACCCTACTCGAATAACGACAGTGATGTCCCATCTCAGCGAAGGTTTTTATTCACGAGATATAAGGGAGTCACTCGATGGTTTCAAAATACCTTATTTAACTGTCAAAGAAAAAGTCGCATTTTTGAAGGTTAATTTTTTATTTATATTTTATTGAATAATTTAAATTCTAGCTAATCACTATTGGAATTTATATTTGATTAAATAATCGTTATAAATATTGGTATAATAAGCAGAAATATTAAAATTATTCACTTCAAGTAAGGCAGAAAGCCTTGGTATTAGAAAATTCAACCGAAAAATGTTGAAATGCTAATATTTGTTTAAATTTGGAGAACAACGAGAATGTCATTTATTAGCTTAAAGCTTATTTCAGTGCGCTGAAGCTTCTATCACTACTGATATTTTTAATGATCGTGTCGCTGATCGAATTCATTTGTTTGTTCAAAAAATTATTGAACGGTGAATTTAAGAGTGAAAATTTTCAATTTCATAAAATAAAATTTTTGTAAATCAATGCTCTGCCAAAACTTTTTTCTTTGTTTCCCAAATTTATATATCTTTCCCTTCGTTTTCCTATTGCAGATTTAAAACTGATTTTGATAAAGTGGCAATTATCACATCGAAAATGAATAATGTTCAGATAGTTATATCATTATTGCATTATTTTTGTAATCAATGTTCCACTGTTTATGTTTATGGATCACAGTTTGCATTCAATTCAGTGAAAGTTTTAAACGTTGCTAAAATCGATGAAATACCTGTGTTAAATCTTCAGGTATATAATATCACTCGACATTGCTATTTTCATCGATTATCTCAAATATTTTTTCTTTTTCATATTTTCAAACGCTATTTATTTCAAGCATTATGACTTTTATAGAATTTAAAATAATTTATATTTGGATTTTGTATAAATTAAATAATTATTATTTACAATCGAAAAAATTTTTTTATTTTTTGTACTCTATGATATGAATAAATTTTAAAATTTTAGTTGGTTATCTTTGTTTGTGGAGTACCATTAGAAATTTTTAACTGGATTCAAGCGCTACCGAAATCAGTTCATGCTCTTTTTTTAGAAAAAAAACCCAATTTGTTGCAACATGAACATCTTCTTATGCTTGGCGTCGGTTGTGATGCACAAGGTTTTTTTAATTTGATGGAACAGAATTTTAGATAATGTCCTAATTTTTGCTATTTAATTTGCAGTTTTTTATGTTTTTCAGAAATTAAAGGTGGGAATTGTATTCATAAAAATTTCAAATTATAATGTTATAAGCAAATGATTAGCTATTTATAGTAAGGCTAAATATTAATAGGGAAAATAATTTTGGGATTCACTTGTCTATACTATAGGTTAGTCGACAGCATCGTTCGAATTTTTTAACATCTGTTATGACAAGAGCGAAAGCATGCTAAAACTGATAATAAACAAATAAAAAGTATACAGCAGCTTCATTTAATTTTCAGATACTTCCATTTTAACGAAATCGAGCAAATTCGATTGTATGGAAGCTGTTGCTGACATTGGCATTTCCTTCTTACCCATGGATAGTTATTCGGCTTCATGTTTGGCGGAAGCATTCTCTCGACAATGCCTTGTGTTATTTTAGCCAGTATTTCTCCAGACACTTTTTTGAAGATCTTTTGAGAAATATTTTAAAAGATATCTTTGATTTTTTAAATCGAATTGTGTGGCATATATTTGTGGTGGCTTCATATTTTCACTAGGTTTTTATAAAATTTATGAAAATAAAATTTTATATATAATTTAACTTATTAGCTTAATTTAACATAATTTTATATATAAAGTTATTAAATTTTTTTTTATGTTCAGTTTTTTGTAAAATTCTTTTGTGAAATAGTTTTTGAAAATCTTTTTGCGGAAATTTATTACAGTTAGCTAATAATGAAAATAAAGGAGGTTGTCGAGTTTCTATAAAGGATTTGAAGAATAGATCTGCTTATAATGACTTAATTGTTAATAATAACATGTCTATTTTTGTTCCATTTCAGGTCATTTCGCTATTTTTCATGTTTTATTCGTTATTTATTTTATTTTCCTTCTATTTTTTTCTTTTAATTTATAATTTCTCCTATATAAACTGCCGATTATTATTATTTTATTCCACTTTTTAAAAAATGTTTTTTTGTAATGTTTTTTTTTGTAAATTAATAAGATTTTTTAAAAAATAAATACAGTTTGAATAAAATTCTACGTTGCACAGATTAAATTTATTCAAATTCATATTATTTCCAGTACTTTATTGATATACTTCAAAACCAAAATAATGCATTCTTAATTCATGAAATTAGAATAATTAATTTTTGCAATGCTTGGTTAATAAGGTAGAAGAGCTTTCAGGTTTATTACAACTGTGGCTGAGATTGCTAAAGAGGTTTCATTTCACGAAATGTGGTTATGAATTGAAAACGAATGGATGTATAAAATGAGTGAACTGTTTTCGAATTTCCCAGAAAATTTTAAAGTCGAGTTAATAAATTTTTGATTCAGAATAATTTCTAATGGATTAATAATGTTTGGTGAAATGGCAAAAAGACTTGTTCTAATATTTTAGCCTTGAAGAAATTTTTTTAAAGGAAGAACTTCACTTTATGGAAAGTTTTAATTCTAAATGGAGATGAGATGAATTCGTTTTGGGAAATGTGGCTGGCAATAACTTTGTGGATGGCTGTATCATATGGTTTCATCTATTGTGCTGCTGCCTGTTTATCGGCAATAATGTTAAGAAAACATTCGTGGATGCTTATGATTACCATTCCTCTTATTGGTAAATCTTACAAATTAAATTTTCCAATAGCTTTTGGTCATCTGGTCTGCCGGTATGAATTCCTTATGTGTTCCTTTTCCCTTATTTTTCTTTTTTTTTTCTTCGTTATGTTCGCTCCTTAACATGTTTGTATCTCGTGTCAGTGAAAAATACCAACTTATTACATGAATTTGTTTTCCACGATCTTCTGTAAAAAAAATTATATAGGGTTTATTTTTGATTTTAATTCTTGCTTTATATCGCATATCGCTAATGGAAATTGGTGCTTATGACATATTTCTTAGCAATGGCTTTTATTGGTCCATCAACAATTGGAGCTTTAACGAGCGCATCAATTGCGATGGTATTTCGATCTGCTGATAAAACAATTAATTCTTGGCACTGTATGATATTAGGTTGCCTTCAAACTCTTTTTGCTATAATAATCGGTTTCTCGCGATTATTGGCTACTTTATGATAATTGGTAAATTCGATATATTTTTTGATGAATTCCATCAGTCTACAAATCTTGGACCTTGACTATCTTTTTCGCATATAATTTTTTCCAATTTATAGTTCTTCCTCTTCTTCTAATAACACTCATTTCTGGTTTGATTAGCTTTAGTGGCTTTAAGGATGAAGGTCTTTTGTCAGAGACTCACTAAGAATAAAAATGCAAATGAATCTCCAACATCACTCGGATATTTATATGAGAGAATCAAGATTTGAACTCATAATGTTTGTTCTCAATCGAAGTAACCTACCGCTCTGCCACTTTTTCCAGTTTATGTCACATGTTTATTTATTTTGATACTGTTTTAAAATATTTATTTTTTATTCGTTATATATTTTTTTGTTTAAAAGTGTGAACTTTTTGTAATTTTATAAATATTTTCATTTATCCAATTTTCACTGAAATTCATTTGATATTAAAAGTATAATCCATGTAATTATGGGTTTTAATAAAGATTCTGTAAAATATTCTTTATTTTAGTTGGAATTTGGCAGTCCTTCAAAAACTTTTATACTCAGAGGTATCTCCACTGCAATAATATACACAGCATTATTTTGAATCATTGGACGTTGCTGTTCTTAGCGTTCTTATTTTTTGCCAACATTGCGAATAAGCAATTCATTTTTAGTAAAAGATGAAGTCCTCTGATGAATTTTGTCGCATTTGTGGAACGATATTACCTTTTGCAACCACAGCACCAACTACAGTTATATGCGCACTTTGCAAAGTCGAATGGCCCATTAAACGTAAGTTGCATTTGAAATTATTTATCTCGTATCAATTACATATATAAAAGAAGTCCCTTTTTCACTCCCTGTGGTTGGTATGGGCCATCGTTAACTCTGCCAGAGGCTTGAGATCTTGAGGATTCTGCACCATACTTTTAGCTATGCCAGCTATGCCTAGAAGTGCCCTCTTCTGGAATCTCTGATACTATTCCTAGAATCTGTTGGAAACGCTTTTCCAGTTTAGGGATCAGGGCCTCTACTGCTGATACCATCATTGTTGTTACTTCGGGTTCACTTCCCACACCTCTAGTTCCTCTTTTAATCTCTGACATTTCTCTAGCTTCTCATATTGCTTCTTCCTGTCTCTTGCTATTGCTAGATCCATCGCCAGTGCTCATTTTTGGTTCTTATCCGCCACCATGATATCTGGCTAATTGGCCAGTACTCGTTTGATTATATGGATAAGGAAATCCTATAGGATCTTGGTTTACTATTTTCCACGATTTTCTGAGAAGTTTTCCATATGGTCTTGGGAGGATCTAAGCCGTATACTGAGCGGATATTCCCGTATACCAGCTACTTGGTTATTGCTTTCAATTTTTGTTGTTCCTACTTGCATCTTATATCTGGTGTTGGTGATATATTGGGCGACTTTTGAGACTTTTCTGCAAAATCTGTTCCTTTAGTGTGACGTAAATCTCTGCTTTGATGGATCTGCTGTTTAAACCTGTTCTTTGTTGCTATGATCAGTGCTTTTAGTCCAGCTTTTTCCAACCACTGGAGAATTTTTTAGTATTAGCCATCTCAGATATCTGTTATATCTCATGGAGGTCATGCTTTGGTATGTTCTCTTCTTGATCTTTCTCCATTGCTTTCGGTATTCTCTCATCTTGTTGCTAGATCAAGAAAAAGTTATTAAAAATATAAGAATGCCTAATGATTCAGTGCCCCACATATGGATCAGTCTAGTTCCATACAAAGTTTACAGGATCCTAAAAACCATCAAGAACTCAATGAGACTGTGGAAAACAACACTTGAAGTCAACACAAAACATCTAGCACAAGTGGCTATCAAGTGAGGTAAAGGTAATGCCCTACTATAGTTTTGCACAGGTAAATCCTCTGCCTTAATCAGATAAAAGTGATACAAGACTGGAACTACCATCTACACACAGACGATAGAATTATATGCTGAAAGCGAACGAGAAATTGACTCGTTCATTCATTTAATGAATCTGTGGCGAAGAAGTCATTCAGACTAGAGAATTGTGGCTTGATGGTAGTAAAAAAAAGAACTTATGATGGAGCGGATCTGCCAGCAGGGCAAATATCATATAGACTAACTATAATAAGTCTCTAGGTATTCCACAGTCATATGGAAGGTATATGGAAACGATGAGAACAGGAATGATAAGTACTACCAAAGAACGAGAGAGATCTTGAAGAGCGGGAAAAATAAAATCCATGCCATAAATATGTATCCTGTCAGTCATCAGATACGCAGCTAGCATAGTAAATCCTCAAAGTGCAGAAATTTCAGCTCTAAATTTAATACCCAAAGACTATATACCAGTCGGAAAGAAGGCGGCGGATTAAATATTGGAAAAAAAAGTACCATATAAGGGAATATCTGCTTGACCTAGATGCTCCCAAGACCATATGGGAGATTTCTCAGAAAATTGTGGAAAATAAGAAACCAAGATCCTATGGAATTTCCTTATCCATATAAATAAACGAGTATTGGCCAATTAGCTAGATATCATGGTAGCAGATAAGAATCAAAAATGGGCACTGGCGATGGATTTAGCTATAGCGAGATCTAGCAATACTAAGAGGAAGAAATATGAGAAGCCAGAGAAATACCAGAAGTTCGAAGAGGAACTAGAATTGTGAAAAAAAAAGCCAAATCTGATGGTAACAACACTAGAGGCTGCGATCTCTAAACGGGGAAACGTCTCCAACAGATCCCAGGAACAATATCAGAAATTTCCAGAAGAGCACTTACCAAAAATACGGTACAGATTATTGTCAGACTCAAGCTATCAGACTTCTAGTAGAGAACCTAACTAGTATAGTTGGTGATGGACCATATCGCCCACTCGAGATAAGAAAATATATAAATATTGACGAGAATTGAGAATATATTTATTGACTATGCATATATGTTTTCATTTCATTACATTATTATTTTTAGTATCTTTTTTATTTCTTTGAATCGATTTATTCATAAAATACCGAATGGGTAGCAACAATAATGCAATTATTTTACAGCTGTTGTAGATAAATGGGTATGCAGAACTGAAAAAAACTATAAACGTCGTATAACGAACATGACAAAAAGTACATCTGGAGACCCTGTAATTGATAAAGTATGCGAAAAATGTGGTCATGACAAGATGAGCTTCGCTTGTAGACAGACAAGGTCAGCCGATGAAGGTCAGACAGTTTTCTATACATGCTTGAACTGTAAAAACAACCTTATTGAAAATGCTTAAACAATGACAATGTTAATTAGTTTATATTCTTGAAAGTAAAAAATAGTATACATAAAAATGATCTTAGAGCCATATATTTAAAGCTTTTAGAATAATGAACATCGTGTCATGTTTTATAAAAAAAATATATTTCCACCTTATCTGATATCGCACCCCATAGGTAGCAAATATTCCCCATTTTTATATGAATAATATTTTTTTATATGAATATTCATTTCACATTTGCAAAATCTTTTGTATTTTTGCTTTCCAATACATTTTCTTAGCGTTTGTTATTGCCTCATATTTTGTAAATGATTCTAGTACCTTGTTGGATAAAATGAGTACTCGACAAAAAAAGATTAAATTCTGAAGGATGGAGTGATTTTGCTTATATTAGCAAAGTATATTCATAAAAAACAATATAAAGCAAATTATAGAGCTTGTCAAAATATTAGTCGACCTTATTTTGAAAAAGTTGATATGACGCATGCCTCTTTGGTTTAACAATTTTTTTGCAAAATTGATAGAAAACATAAATGAAAAAAAGAATTGCCGAAGTTAAATATATGCCTATAACGGTATTTTCGTTTGGTAGAAGGCATTTATTAACCTTTAATTCATTAGGCGATACAGTGAGAAAAAGAATTGATGGTTGAGGTGTATTGCGCCATGAAAATGAAGGCACAGTCCATTCCCAAAAAGAATATGGCGAAGGCCACCTAAAATGTAGAATTTTTTTGGATTTGCAAAAATCTAATTCAAATATTTTCGTTCTCAACTCAGAAGAAATTTAAAAATTTTGAATTATCTAAGATAAAAAACAAAATCAAATGAACCATGTGCGACAGGCAAAATGTGCATGTCCATCGAATACAGCTCGTGGATTCAAAGAGTTCAAAACAAAATTAGTAGATTCTACTGATAGGCAATCCCAATTCTCCAGGTAAAGTTTCGATTTTCTTGGCTCAGATGCAGAATCTGGACCGTTTTCACAAGTAGCATCGCTTTTCCTACATAAAATTCCTAATTTGACAAATCACAATGATTAAAACGCCAAATTAATTTTGTATTAGATAAACCACCTATATAAAGGGAAATGTTGCATGAGAATTGGTCGAGAATACGGCACACTGAAATTACTGACACAATGTTTCGTTCGATTCGTTGCACAGTTGAATTTGTAGCGTAAATCTTCGAGTTTACGTTCAGCATCTTTACATAATCTACAGCCATCTCGTTCCATCGCCATTGAATTAATAATGACGAAATGATTTAAGCCAATTGTTATATGCTCAACAATATCATGATTAAAGTTTTGAAAATACCAATTTAACCGAACGGGCGAAATCCTAAAAAATCCAATCAAATGAATAAATAAATAAATAAATCCAATGAAAGAATTTAAAATAATGGAACTACATATATTGTTGCCACATTTTTTTGAAAATAATCATGGCTAAAATTTGAAAAAAATTTAAAAAAATAGAAGTTCGAAATTTCAAAAAAGCGTGTATTATCTATATATAAATATACTACTTATAAATATACTATTTATATCAAATATAAAATTGAATATTCTAAATAATTTCAAACCAGAGAAAATGTTCGATTTTATTTAAATTTTGGATGAATGATTTTCTAAGTCTGATTTAAATGAACTGCAAAATTCTAATAAATAATTCCATTTCAGATCAGTTGAAAGTGAACGAATTATCTGAAAATAAGAGGTCTACGGTTCCTTCTTCCTTTTCTCTTTTTACTCCTCTCTATATTTCTTCATTCGTGCATGTAGATACCTAGATATTCCGCTATCAATAACTGCATTATTTGACCCCAGTGATTAATTCTATACCTCATTCCTCTATAAAAACCATGGCTCCCTTACCAGTAATTTCCTTCACGTATCCCACATATAATTGTACAATTTCATTTGTATTTTACAATTATACTTTATATTCTTTCCAGCGACTCTATTTGTTATTCACTGAAAATAATGGATATTGAAATGTACATACTCATAATGAAATCCAATATCATGGTTTCCAGCAACTACTATTCGCTTAATGTTCTTTGGTACATAAAAAAGTGAATTAAAGCGGTCGCTATATTCAGTAAATGCATTCTCTCTACTTATGTGACCTTCATCGAATTGATCTCCTAAAACATTTAATTATCAAATAACAATCACTTTCTATGCATAATCATAGACATAGATCACATTTTTTTGAAAAGACTGTTCGATTAACAACTCACAATCTATAAATTTAAATTCGTCATGATCAATCATTTTGATTCATCTAAACCATTTATTTAATTAAATTTTGAAACTCTCTCTCTACAAAAACGAACCGAGAAAGAAAACTGCATCTGGTGGCATAAGAGATATAAAGGTCTGAAATGCTTGATACATTTGCCATTCTCTATAAAAAAACAGAAAACTTTAAAAAATTATTCAAGAGTAAAAACAAAGCAATATAAATAAGTAGTCGGGACCATTTTCGATGAGATTGTCACTGACTATCAGTGACGACAAAAATAAAGGTGGTTATATCAGTCAGATTTATTTTCTATTGGAGAAAAAACATGTAAGAAAGTTCGAGGTTCGAAAGCAACAGCAGTCCGCATTAAAGATGATGACGCTAAACAAATAACTAAAGCACCAAATAAATTAGATTACTTTTTGAAAATAAAGAAAGTCTGGTTGGAATTCTGCTGGCCAATTCTTAACAGTAAAAAAATATAGGTAGGTCGCTTATTTCTATCGAGTCCAAGTCATCCATTCGGTTATCCTTTATTTTTTAAAAATGTCTAATACAATGTTTCATAAAATATATGCAATAATTATGTACACATAATGGAATTAAAAAATAATTAATCCAAATAAATTCTAATTAGTGAATTCAAAAGTTGCTTATTAATTTATTAATTCGAATAATCGGAAATTTTTAAAAAATTAAAATCCATCCCAACGAGCAGTGTTGCTGATCTAACTTTTTTTTTATTTTCATTGACTTATGCCACGAACTGTACTATCAGCCAGCCAGCGCAGCGAGCCAGAAATGGTAAGCATTAACTCACTATTTCATGAAAAATACTAAGGTTAATTACATAACTATAAATTCTTAATTTATTAAAACAACAATTTTAATATTTGAAAAATTCTTAAAATACTCTAAAAAAGAAATTAACCTTCGAAGTTTATCAAACCAATGACCATGAACATAACCAAGTATATGAGTATCAGAAATGAGAGCAATCTTCGATGAAGAAGGACGATTCGTTTCGTTGACCAAAATTGGCCACGAACAACCAAATTTTATTGTTATATAATATATAAAATATTCATTAAATATTACAATAAATATTACAAAAAATACTAAAATTAATGAACGTTTCAATCGAATCATCTGAAAAAAACAAAGTTGAAGCGGGTTGGTCGACATACATCGTGGAAACAATAACCGATAGGAAAGATATTACGACGAAGATTCATCTCTTTTCATCCTTCCTTTTATTCTACACACCTTTATTCACTTCTTTCCAACTCTGTAATTAGAAAAAGATCTAAAAAAAAGGATGACACCGTTGGCGCTATTCGATTAATATAAAATGTCTAGAAAATGGATTCGGACACCCTGGCGAGAACAAACCTATCACCGGAAGAAGAATCCAGGTAGCACCGCGGGCCCAACTTCCGCCATAAGTACTTCTACACGTTACTCTCCAGTAATCTGTGGAACCAGCCGTACGAGGAACGAGCGTATTGTCGGAAAAAGAGAAACAATTATAAAAAAGAATATTGGAACGCGCTATTTGTGAATGATAAATAAATCCACGATTTTTGATCCAACTTGAAGCTCAGTCTCTCTGGAAATTTCTAGTAGTTCCACGGTTAGAACTGCTTACAAATGGTAGTTTATCTTCTCCTTTTTCCTTTTTTTTTCTCTCCTACTTTTCTCTTCCTCTTTCTTCTATCTCCTCTCGACGGCCACTCTCATATTTTCATCAACACTTTATGTCTTACATCCATGATCTTAAAGCTTTTACTGGTCCCCTCTGTACTGACCTCAAATTTGCCCATCAACAGCTGAGAACCCTCCACATATATCACATAAGAAAATTTTAACAAGCATATAAAGAATATCACCAAACTTCCACATTTTAAACCGACTTTTAGTGTTTTTCAGCTTTTGCAGCTTCAGCTTTATGTGGCCTTTACAATTGATCCGACTGCCCTTAGCAACGTGATTTTTGCATGGCCTGCAGTGTCCCACGAAGAATCCTCAAGAATTGAGAGTCGAACATTTCTTGATTATCGATATGGCATCATTCCTGTTGCCAGATTGTTCAGATTATTGGCAGAGTGCTCGAGTAGAATGCTTCGACTAAGGCCGAACCATCCTAGATTCGATTCTTCTGAGTCCATTGTAATGGAATTTGGGTGGTGTTGAATGGTCCTTCTATTCGCCGGATGGATCTCTGGCGGAGCTCTCTTATCGTGATAGTCGATAAAATCGATTAATCAACTCAAGGAACCGAATACCTCTTTTTTTTAAGACCATTAATGGTGTTATTAAAAGATAAGTTGATGAATGTGGTGGTGAACGCACAATAATATTATTTATTATTTTATTTCATATACATTTAATTAATTAATTAAATAATAATGATAATAATAAGAATTAAAGATCACATCTCTCTAATTATTAAATCGCTATCGTTATCGTGTTCACGTATAAAGAGAGGCGCTAAACATCTGTAATCGATTGTTGAGTACCACGGATTTTCGCCCATTGTAAGTGGCAATCCTTGCAAAATAAATGATCATTCAGTGGATAACATCTTTTTTCTTTTTCATCCGTTAATTGCTTTCCACATCCCTTAATTTCCAATGATTATAAAAAATTAATGATCTTGATTCAGATTCAGTGAAGTTATATCGGTTTGGCTGACGATTATTGTACCAACAATGAAGTGGCACTTTTCGGTTGCTTGGGCAGCAAAAAAACTTACGTCCGCTCATTTTTTTTCACACTTCATCATTTCCCTTTTCTGCTTTTTTTCTATGGTTTTCTTTCCTATCTTTGTTTCTAATTTGCATTCTCAACAAAAGGGCTTTTATAATTTTTCTTATTTTGATGAGCGGCATAGATTTGTGCGCGGTAAATTTTCATGCCTTTTGACTGGAGTGGGATAGTACTGCTCCCAAGAAAATAGAAACCGATTGCTCCCATAAGAGGATGAAATTTGGCAACTATTACATAAGTTATATATATATATGCAATTCAAGGGACCGAATATCTCTTTTTTTTTTATTACTGGCTAAATTTGTTACGCTGGCTTGTCGCATTGGACAAATATGTTAAAGAGTCCCTTGGTGATAGAAATACAGATGAGTCGCAAGAACTGGTGTCTGTCAGGGCTGCGTCCTTTCCCTATTCAACTATGCGATAGACTGGATAATGGACATAGCTTGTCGGCACTCAAGAGGTGTCCAAATCAGTCTCCAGAGCATCGTGTTACAGATCTTGAATACGCTGATGATGTAGACCTTTTTGCTGACAGTTATGACGAAATGCAAGTAATACTAAATAACGTGTCAGCAATTGCAGCGAGAATCGGACTCAGAATCAATGTAAATAAAACGAAAGTCTTTTCGTCTTATGTATAAGAAGATGAAAAAGTTCTTTTTAAAAATTCATTGCTGGTTAAGAAAGTGCTCGATTTTAAATATCTTGGGTCCATTTTAATACCAAATAGACAGGCAAAAAATTATAAGATCAAACGGATCACGGCAGCTAGAAAATGCATTCTTCCGGTTGACGAAACGTTTATTGAATCGCCGTGAAAACCATAAAAACGAAAGTCCGCATCTATATAGCCGTGATCCGTTCGATCTTGCCATATGGTTCTGAGACATAGCCAATGAGAGTGGAGGATATTATGAAGCTATCTACCTTTGACCACTCTTATCTAAGGTATATATTACGGATCCGTCGAGCGGATAAGATATCAAATGATCGCATCACTTTCGTTCAAACATCACTTGCATAAATAATATTATCACAGAACGCCGCCTTGGCTAGGGCATATTCTCTGTCGTCTATCACAGGAGTTGACGCATATTTCGTTACTTGCTAAATCGTGTGATGGTTGGCATCGAAAACGAGGTGGGCCAATCAAGACCTGGACTGATACGGTCAGAAAAGATTTTGAACGTGTAGGGATCAGCAGTATATGGACTTAGACGATAGAAAAACGCATGACTTCTATTATTGTCGACGATAGCATCAGACCTCGCTCGCAGCTTGGAAACGTCTTACCCTTGTAGTCATTGGAGCGAGCCTAACCAATAATGGTGAGAACTGTTAGAAAAAGAAGAATCGCCCAGCATCACCCAGATTTTTGGACAGGTTTACTCTTACGGGGAAAAGAAGCCTTAGTATCGGAGCTCCAAATTGAGTAACAACCCACTAATCCATCCTATTCCCAACCGAATATTTCTAGGGAAATTTTTTTTTTCCTTATAATTTGCTGAGTAATATAAAAATATAAATATAAATAAAAAATATTTATTTTATAAATCATCTATGAAATAAAAGAAATATTTCGTATAAAAAAGCAACATAGAATGTTAGGCAGGTTGCATGTTGATTAAAGCCACATTATAGATTCCTGGCCCTTGAGTAAGCCTAAGTCAAAATACAAGTGATGCTGTAGACTCGTCTAATCCCTAAACATCACCCCATCTTTTTATGGGAAAATACGTGCTAGCTAAGATGAAACCAAAGCAAAAGTGATCAATGCTCCAAAAGAAGAAAGAGGTGGCTAACCTCACAAACATAACATTCCACGTGGTAATCTTTGTTAATGGCAACGACTCGAACAGTTTCTCCAGAATTCTACAATTTTAAATACTTCTTTAACGTAAAAAAAAATGAAGGTTTCAATTTTCGTTAATTTTTCACTTTTATATTTCTATGTAGATTTTTCTTAATAATTTTTGAATTTAATGATGAAAACTTTAAATTTTATGCCAAATTTTCAAATTCTATTAATTGTTATTTTATTAATTGTTAATTTATTTAAATTATTGTTTGCTAAAAAGTAAGTAAACCAGTGGTTGACCACTATTTCTGGCCGCTTGTAAGATAAGAAATTTTTGCCAGGGAATTATTTGGAATACAATTGGTCACCCATATAACTGGTTCATCCCTGTCGGGATAGAGGAGAACCCCTACACTCCTCTTTACCAAAGCCATAGTCCACTCAGCCATCCCCAGTCTTGTATATTAATTTAATAATTTCTAAAATATAAAAACAAATCAATTCTGACTGTGCTTGCTAAAATAGGTTTATGACAAGTAGCACATTTTGGAGCAAAAAGTTTATGGTAATCATCGATACAATATATTTTGCCACGTGAATCCAACGCAAAAGGTATGCCATCTAAGCAGGTTTTACAACATTCGCAACGAAAACATCGTGGATGATAAGATTTTCCAAGTGCTTGTAACACCTAAAATACCTCAGTTAACATCAAATTTATTAGTGATACGATGTACGAAGACGAGTGGCATATAGTTTCGACTGGCAACAAGCTTCATGGGTTCAGTTCTTTTCGTTTGACGGAAGTTAATTTAAAATGGAATGGAAAAGTACAAATGTACCAACAGATGTCGATTTGTGGAAAAATTTTGCATTTGTGTCGACTTTTTATTCATTTTAAGAATTAGACCCTTATATATTATTTTCAAATATTATTCTAAAAGGCTGGTTGATGGATTAAGTGTTAATAAATTTACCAGATCAATAATTAGATGTGAACATGCCGCGCATCTTTCGGCTGTTTCATGCACACCTGCATATAGGTAATCTTCTTCGCAATATGTTCTGCCCTTGACCTAAAATAAAAAATCTCGATAGAGAGGGCTGTTGTTATTTCCAAAATAACTGTCGGCCCTTCCAAGCATTCCCACTAAAGCCAATAGTTGTTTATCGTAAATAAAAAACCTTATAAAATTTCTTTCCAGCTAATGTACGACCACAAATGGTGCAGATGAAACAACACTGGTGATAGAGTTGACCTAATGCGAATGTAATGCTACCTTCGTCTAATACTGGTTTCTCGCAAATGCCACATGTTCCTAAATTATGAAGTTTTCGTTTAATTCGGTTGGCTATTATATTTCAAGTAATATCGTGTAAGAGGCAATAGTCCGGCTTCTTTCTCCTGCAAGGATTAGCCTGTCCTTAAAAAAATATAGCTAAACTTGAATTAAATGGTGAGCCATATGTTCTTCTATCCAAATTATTCCAAAAATTTCTACCATAAATGCTTGTTATTATTTTTTTAATTTACTACTCAGCATTCACCATTTCTCATTTGGTTAATTACTAAGAAGAGTTCCTTTGGCACTCTAAGATAGAAGTAATATGAATTTTCAGCGCTACTCAGATTCTTTCAGTAACTGGTTAGCTTCCGTCAAAAAAACTAAAATCGAGCTTTAATGTTCAATCATTAAAATTGATCAGAAAAAATTATAATATGCAACCAATTATTTTGCTGTTCATTGCGAGCTTTTTCTCAATTCTGTCGGCAAGTTCTTCATACTTTTCCCTTTGATCATTATTAGCATCTAAATTTTGCAAATTTTCCGGTTTTTTTTGACGCCAAGATAGTGTTGTCACATTCTTCAGATCGGTGCAAGTTTTCGTTTTCGTAGCATCCGAAAACGACTTGTTTGATGATGGAGAGTTAGGTGGCAAAATTTTCGCGTTACCTTTAATGTATTAAAGATGAGCTTATAACTCTGGTTATAATTTTATTATCTGAGATAAAATAATGAACATCTAATTTATAAGGGCATAAATTATCACCAAATTATCAATTTTAATAAACTCATAATAAACTCATAAAATAGGATACTATGAGGCGGATTTAGATTGAACAGCCTGAAAAATGAAATGAAAGGTGATTTTTTTGCAGCAGTCAGCAATGAAAAAACTTTAGTACGATACTTTATATAATGATTATTAAATGGAAGAATGTTCTTCAATTTAAGAAGCATTCAAGTTCGAGCAAAATAATGAAGCTTTTTTTATTTCTACTGCTTCTTCTCGTTCTCTCAACACTCACCATTTTTGATTCAAATTTTCAGGATACGACATTCGTCATTTGGGAATAGAAGCAAAAGTAGATACCATATAACATTTAGAATATATAACCTTTATATGACTTCAATGATTAGGACTGCAGAGATCAAAATATTAGAATCTTAGCCTTCAGCCAAGTCAATATATAAAACTGGAAAAACTAGTTAAAAAAGTGTTTTTTTGGAAAATTTTCCTTACCATTCGACTTGCTTATAATTTGTGCCTTTCCAGCAATATTTTTCGAACGAATGCAATGACCATTCCCATTACTTCGTAGCAAACTTCTGTTTATAAGGTCAGTATATTGCTGTAGATAAATATTTCATCGTAATCGAATAGAACTTAAGTATGGCTTAATCAAGAGATATCCGGAACTAGACGTCGTAAAGTACGGATGGCATCACTCAATAAATTTACTAGAAACTTTAATTTAACTTTAATTAAATAAGCAAAGATCGCCTAAATTCAAATTTTAGCCTGAAAAAAACTTAAGAACCAAGATATTCAATTGGGCTATGGATTTCCATGATATAATAATTCAATCAACTAAAAGAAGCATACCTTGTTTTTCATCCCTACTCGAAGTGGCGGTCCACTATGGTAATAAGTCTTAGATGGTGTTCTACCAGCTATGCAGTCATTATCATTATATGGACGAGCATGATATATGCCATCATTTCTATCAAAGCAACTCTAGAAATTTTCTTTCTTTTTAATCCATTCAACAATTGAGAAGAAACTGGTAAAGTGATACATCAATCAGGATTTAAGCAAATTTGGAATGAAACTACATTAATAATAAAAAAAGTAAAATGTAGTTGATGATATGAAGCCGTCTTTTCCTCAATTCTTAATTGACTGTCGATCCAAGTTCAATGTAAGCGCAATGGCCAGTAGAATCAACCAAAAGGTATTAATGAAAGAAAAGACAATTATAGGTTCTGGTATTATAGGTTCGATTCCCTGGACAGAAAGAAGTTTGAACTCACTGCATTCGATCCTTCTGAAACTGATGATCCCGAAGTTTCTGCGTTGCTGAGAGGGCTTAATGAACCTAATTTATTCGAATATTGGTACTTTTTGGCAACTTCAGTATTGAAAAACGTATTTTCACCAGAAATCGTTGCGATATTAACAGATAACTGTTTGCTGATGGAATTTTTCTGATGATCTCGAGGTTCTCTCATGTTATCTCTTTGCGCTTTCTTATGAATATCAGTTGTTCTCTGTTGTTCATACCATGGATTTGTTGGTCTACTCGCAATTAGAACCTAAATGATATTGATACCAGTTGATAAAATTAAATTAATAAATTAGACTAAGAATTTTGATAATACTTATTGGCTTGGCAAAGGATTTGTCGAATATGGTTGCTTCGATTCGCGTCTGGTATTATAGGTTCGATTCCCTGGACAGAAAGAAACTATCAATGAATTGTCGCTAAACCTGCCATTTAAAATTTTAGGCCATTCTGGTGGTCGCTAATTGGCTTCCTACCAAAAATTTCTAATCACTGGAGACACCAGAAATGGATGGACTTTATTGCATCTGTTTAGTTATTTTATAATAATGTGGAATTTGAACCTGGTTCTTCCAACTTTTTACATCTTCGCTGCTTATTTCTTTTTTCTCGGTGCAGTTAAAAGAATTTGATGAGGGACTGGGCTTTGAATCTATCTTTTTTGTTCGCTGTAAAAGGAAGAATAATAATCAATATATATTTTTTTCAGATTTTCTAAAAAAAAATAACGTCAAGACAGCAATATTTTTCATTTGAAACATCTAGATCCTTAGCATTTTCAGTCCCTTCACTTCATCAGTCCAGATTCTGTGAATCGTAAAAAAATCCACATCCACTGATTAATTTTCAGGACAGCCGTCTGGTTAATAGTCCAGATTATCGCGTTAAGTAATGGTTCGATTCCTGCTTTCGATTGCAGTATATCCGTCATTAAAAAATCTTAGTGTTGCTGGCGATCCATTCCTATCGCCAGGGAACTTCCTAAGGAAAATTGATCGCTAACTGTAATGATGGCTAATGGAACGACTGAAACCAGAAATATTGTTTATAATTTGCTGCTTCGTTATCTGTCTGAATTATTTGATTACAAAATTCCGAATACATTAACCAAGCAACAAAAATTCTTGGTTTCTTTTTCATCGTTTTCATGTTGGACAGCTGTTTATGCCGAAGAAAAAAACAGTTGTAAAAATGAAATATTTCTTTCATCGGATGAAATTATTTATTTTTGTTGATTTAAATTTTTTCTAGCTCGTTTCTTCTTCTGAATTAAAATCTGACTATTTAAAATTTTTTCACTGAGCAAGTTTTAGCAAGAAATTTGCTTTACTAGGTATATAGCACTGTGATAAGTATCACTTAATATATCATTGCGAAAAGTGACAATGGATAATCGAATCGATCGAAATATGAAAAGCTCCCAAGAAGAACTAAGAACTAATGTCGATTCGAAAAGTCATTCAGTTCTGAAAATATTCTTCATTTTCAGATGGAAAAAAAATAGAAAATTACCACTAAAAATTTATTATTCTTTTGTTATTTGTGTTATTTGTTAAAAATTTGTTATTTGTAATTTGTATAAAAAAGGTACTGAATTATGTAATGAATCGAAAGAATCAGAACAGTTTTAAAATTGGGAAAAAGCAGGTTAGAATTATCAAACTTTAGCTTAACGAAATAAAAAAAATTAAAAAAATTTTTCTTTGCAATTTATATTAAACTATCGAACTCAATAAGTTAAAAAACAATCGTTTTAAAAAATTGGACATTGATTCCCCTAATTATTTGTCGACAAAGGTATGGAAGGCAGGGAATGATTATTTTCTCGATGAGTATATTTGCCATTTTTCCGAAAGATTCATAATCTTTTACATAGTCTTCACAGAATAAATCGCCATTAAAACTGAGATCCAGAGAATTCTACGGCACTGTTAACTATATGTGAATACAGAAGAAAAAATTGATATATTAACTCAATCCTGGATAGGAATGGTATATCGCATTATTACTAATATTTCCTTCCGGTACCACAGAAAACGTAGTTACGTGGAACTCCCCAGATAACCAATCAGATTGATTATACCTTAATCAGCCGCCGTTGGAAGAGTTTTGTGCTAGATAATCGTTCATATCGCGGCGCTGAAACGGGCAATTTTTATGGATCTGACTATCCTATCCCGTCCGAGCCAAGATCCACATAAAATAGACAACTCGCAAGAAACAGCGTCCCCCAAGATCTTTCAACTATCTCAAAATAAAAAATTCGAGAAAAGTGAACGTATTTCAAATTGAATTATTAAAGCATTTCAATTATAAAAATCAATGATTTTTCTGGAGCGACAAACGAATGCTGATCCAAACTAAAGGAATATTTCAGCCACTTTCACGCTAGGGCATACTAGGACGCTAGTTGGGGATCGGAATCAATCGTTCAACTATTTGAAAACGATGCCAAAGCAGGAGATCCTGACTACCAGATACTTCGAAGAATTGTATCGAAAGTAATATGGTGGGACAAAAATCACTATTGAAGCGACATGGCCTTGACAATGGAGACGATGGCGATTAGGCGATAATAAGAAAATTATTCTGCTTTCTTCGCAATTGACTGTAAAATGGTAAGGGATAGCAATGGTGTGCCTGTTAAGGATCGCCTTATAAGATGGAAGGAATTCTTTCAGGCCAAACTTAGCTATGATGCGCCTTCTGTTGATCTTGACATAGCTAATACGTTCGTTAAATCATTCGTTTGCAATTGCGAACCGCCAACCGCCAGAAGAAGAAATAATTTCTGTCATCCATAAACTTAAGGTACCGCGAAAAGGACTTTGGGCTGAACTCTTTAACTTTTGTCCATCGTCCTTCATAATGCACCTTCAATAAATTTATTTTCTGGTATGGAATTTACGTTCTGGTAAGAAATATTACCAGGTGATTGGAGCAAAGCAATTCTACTCTTAATTCCCAAGAAAGGTGACAAGACATATTGCGACAACAACAAACAATAAAAATGAAAAGGAATTAAAAATAAAATAAAAGAAAAAAGTCTGTAAGAAAAATGTATTATAGGATGAATGGAACAAAAAAATTCTGCTTCCAATTCCCAAGAAAGATGATGGGACATACTGCGATAATTATTGAGGAATCAGCCTACTAGACGTCTCAACGAAAATTTTTACTTCTCTTTTATTCAACAGATTTATGGCAGCAATACGGGATAGCAGGATGCGCCCCAATCAAGTTGGATTCAGATGGAGGAAGGGGTGGTTGTACTGACCACATTAAGGATATTGGAACATCGCTTCAAATATCTGCAACCCAACGTTATGTTATGTTTTATCGATTTTGCGGTTGCCTTCGATTCAATTGATAAAACAGCACTTTAGAGGATGATCGAATGCGATGGTCTTCCAGAGAATATCATTCGACTCATAAAGCCATCATCTAATCAATCGTATCAGCTTACGTCGGCGCAGGTGTATATGACAGACTCCTTCAAAAAAAGAATCGGAATCCGTCAAAGCTGCATCCTTTCCCCTACAATATTCAATGTGCGATAGATTAGATTATAGGCACCGCTTTTTGGCACTTAAGAGAGATGTACAAATTAGTCTGGAACATCGCAACACAGATCTCGAATACGGTGATGCAATGATATAGTCTTTTTTGTTGACATTATGACGAAATGCTAAATAACGTATCAGCAACTGCAGTGAAAATCTAATTCAGAGTCAATGTAAATAAAACGAAAGTCTTTTCGTCTTAAATCCAAAAAGCTGATAAAATGCCTTTTTTTATAAACTCATTACTGATTGAGGAAATTTCCGATTTCAAATACTTTAGATCCACTCTAATACCGAATGACTAAGCAAAAGACGAAATTACTACTCAGATAGGGCAGCTAGAAATGCGTTCTTCTGGTTGTTAAAATCTTTATGGAGCCGTAGCGAGATTAACAGTTTATTTTAGTTTTTATGGAAAAACTAAAGTATGCGTCAATATAGCTGCGATTCGTTCGATCTTGCTATGTGGCTGCAAGAGACATGGCCAATGAGAGTGGAGGATGTTAAGACGCTAACCACCTTTGACTACTCATGTCTAAGGTACATTTTACGGGTTCGCCGAGTGGATAAAACCTCACATGATCACATCCTCCTTCGTTCAAATACCACTTGTATTAAGAGTACCATCAGAGAGCGTCATCTTCGCTGGTTCTTCGTTGCTTACCGCAAGAATATTTCGTTATTTGCTAAACCCTGTGATGGGTGGTGTCAAAAGCAAAGTGGACCAATCAAGATCTGGATTAACAGCCAGGAAAGATTTTGAAAGCAAAAGTGGATCAGCAGCATATGGACTTAGACGATGGAAAAAGGAGTGGCTTCTATTTCTGTCGACGATGGCATCAGATAGCGCAGCTTGGAAACGCCTTACCATAGCCAGTGGAGCCTCTCTACGCAGTAATGGTTAGAGCTTTTAGAAGCAGAAGGATACACTGCATTATTACGATTTCATAGTTCTATGAAGGAATAATTCCACTGAAAAAATAATTATTTCAAATCCACATTTTCTTATTTTTTGAATTTTTTCAGTGAAATATCCTTATATTTCTTTTGATAATCGATACGATATACGAATTATCGCTATGGATCTATCAATACTCTATCTGCAAAATGACCCACTAGCGAAATGATCTCATCCTAATAGTTAGTTCATAAACTAAATCAGATTTGATACGTGCTGTTGGAAGGAAAAATTTTTTATGCGATTAGTTCTAATAAAAATTAATTCTGATTATAAATGATTATAAATGATTCATCTGAATAAATACTATTATTTTCTCGAATGTTTCAATAAAAAGTTTCCGATATTCAATGAGCTGAAAAGATTTCAGACAGTTTTTTTCCGAATGATTGCAACATAGCTGTGATCGATGTCTTTGCGCTATCGATATAAGTGTAATATTATGCAATTTGGGGAATTCATTTATTGATGAAGGACGAAATTCTCCTTGTCTCTCCAGTCAGTCAAACAAAATTATTTTAAAAATATATAAAATAATAAGATATTTTAAATCACTGGATTTAAAGCAGAATCGAGAAGCCGACTGGGAATAAAGAAACCAGAAAAAAGCATAAAAACTGAAATGTCAAGAAGAAAATACCTGAACCTAAGTGACTTACCATTTGTTTCTCGACATTGATATGGTGCAATTTATTTTCGAATTCCCTACTGAATGCCTTCGAGTAGTTATTTGAGAAAAGTTTTTGTGGCGGTGGAGGTAAACCAAATGAATCGAGTTCACGAAGAAAATTTTGAGTTTCGATTTCAACCATCTCAGTCATAATATCTGAAAAAGGATTTCCACCTTTCGTGAAGTATAATCATTACTCAAAAAATAGCGCACAAGATCCCTATATAAACTTCTTAAATGGCATTTTTCTTAAATCGCTAAAACTTTTTTGTAAAACGGACCAAAATTATTCATTTTGGCATTATTCATTTCAAATTATTCATTTTTAAATAAAGGAAAAGATGGATATCTCTAGCACGATTTCATTTTTAAAGCAGGTTTATTCCCATAAAGAGATGGCCGAAATAACATACCACTAGTCTATGGGCCATTCGTGGATAAATGCTTTTAACGATTAAGCTTTTATTTGCTGTCGAAAATTCAGGTGCATTGCGAAACATCAAAAAGATGAAATGTTATAGAATAAACTATTGGATATATGTAGAGATTACAACATAGAGATAGAACATTACATTTGTGATAAATAAAATTCTAAATTTAATTAGAGATCAAGTGGCTAACTGCTGGATCGGATGATACCAGCTTCTGCAATAACTGCTCTCCCTATGCTTTTCTTATATATGCCATATTTCTGGATTTAATTTATAGATGAATGTACCACACTGATCATCACAAAAACAGAAAGCGAGGTGAAAATCTTGGTTCTTTTTTCTCCTATTTAAAAATTTGAATTACTTTATTATGGTGAATTATAATGAAAAGGTGAAAGATGACCTTCTGGAACGGTTTTGTCCTATGGAGTCAGCCTGATGTTTCCATCCCTATACCATAAAAATTTTTAGAATGGATCAGCCAGATAACTTTACACTCATCACAAGGTTTGACCTTGATTTTTGCTTAATTTCTTATAATTAATTCAATGCTAGCAAAGCCATAAAATCAAAATTCTTAAAAATATGTCCTATTCTCAATTTGAAAACCATGGATGTTCCTCAGATGAAATTTGGTTGAAGTAAACTGGCATTTAAAAAATGAAGATTGCTGAGGACTGCCTTATACGTTTTATACATAGGTTAAGTTAAAGTTATTTTGGTTTCTTCACAGTTCTGAACGAATAAGTGCAAAAACTTCGTTATAAAAATGGTGAAAATTAATAAAAAAAAATAATTAATACAAGAATTATTAAAAATTGTACCGCTATAATTTTTTATGCGTTTTTAAGAATTTTTTGAAGCTGTTTTCTTTAATTTTTTTTTTTGCTTTTATAAGGAATTTAGGGATTTATGAATAAAAATTTAAATTCTTATAATATCTAATTTTCCATCTTCCCTTTCTTCAATCAAACAATTCATTTAGGGTATTTCATTCTTTGTTCAAAAAGCGATATTAAAAAATTTTGGACTTTTCGTTGACTTTTAAAAAAATATATCAAATGGTTGAGTTTTAACAGATGTTCAGTATTTGTAAACGTCATTTGTAAAGTATTTGTGGCTTAAAAGCATCAAAAAACAATTCATGCATACAATTATCGTTGAGAACATCTTCCGGTCTGTTGAAGGGAAAAATTCTACAAATTTTAGACATCTATTATTTACTTCTAAATTGGTATTCATTCATTCACTCAAGCGCTATTTTTTATGTCCTATAACTTTTTCTATGGACTTAATTTTATAAGAACATAGCTAGCGTAATGGCGTAGCTAGCGTTATTGACTATTGGTAATAGAGCAATAATTTCAGATGAAATATTAAGTAATATACAGAAAGACAAGGAAATGATAAAGTAAAAAGTAAAAGCTATAAAGATATGAGAACTAAGTTCTCACTCAAATTCACTTGAATTATGGCCCAGTTACTTTGTAACTGGAAATGTACTGAAAACTACCAAAAATCAGTTATGAATTTATGAAAATGAATTTAAATTACGAAAAAAACGAAACCATTAGTTGACCTTTACCGTAACAATTGAGAGAGAATACATTTTGACCTTGCAAAAAACTGAAGGATTCTTATAGAAACGAAAGAAAAGTAGTTCGAATGCGAAAAAAAATGTGTAAATAAAATTTAAAAACTGGTATAAACTCTTTCTTTCATAGCAAAGATATAAGAGAGTAGTTAGTGAATATAGAGTTCCCAGTACTTCGTGGACTCCTAACGAGGCATGAAATAACGTTTGGACTGACATTTTAAGCCAGTGATTCTCGTACTTTTTGCTCCCAAAACTCCTTTATACTTAATTATTTGGGACCCCGCAAACGACCCTTCTTTATATTTGTATTTATCAAATTAAATTGAGGAAAGCTGAGAAATTTTTCAAATATTTATTAAATTCTTTCAACTTTCAATTTCAATTTTCTTCCGCAAATACCAAGGCTTAGGCTAAGCTTACTACCTTAAAAAGGCAAATAATAGTAATCATAGGGAAATAATGAAGGGTTTCGCCCAAAGCCCCTTAAAAGAGTTTTTTTCGGATAATTTGAGAACCACTGGTCACTAGATTTCCTGCACCTTTACGAAAAAAATAAGGTGAAAGAATATATATATATATAATAGGAAAAGCATGCTAGACAGAAAGAAACTAAATTATGCTAGTGTTAACGACTAGATTTTAAATTATCGAGGTACTTACAATAGGATATACAGGACCTTAAAGAAAAAATAATTGCAAACTAAAAAAATAAGTCTAGGTATTCACTATTTTCAATTTGACTAATTAATTAGCTGCTTATATGTTTAGAAACTTTAGTCAAGAAAACACTTAGAAGTGGAGCGAGGTAGCAGCACCACTTAGACTTTAAAAAGTTTATCCTGTCAGAAGGGAACCTCACCTTTAAATATGCTAACTTACTATAGTCACTCGACTATCCTGCCCTTCATGAGAAATCAGATAGGCTAAAGTGAAACCGATTCATACCAATCGAATTTGTAAAGCGAAGATGGTTCACAGCAAATTTTAAAGGAATCTAAACAATTTATCGACACTGCAGGCGATCGGACGAGCAATCGTTAAAAAATTTTTTCTGTTCTGGTGATTCATGGCTATTGCAATTTATTCAGTTATATTGCACTACAGCCTTCGACAATAAATTTTACCTGAAAATGAAAATTCCGAAAGACTTTATGGAAGAATAAATCAACTTGCAGATATCCAACATGAAACGTGGTCGAATTCTCTCAATTTCCATATTACTCGCCGCGTAACAACAACAGTTTTTTGATCATTTCGAATGATTCAGTAAACAATGAATTTCTTATAAATTTATGAATTATGAATTATTATGAATTTTTATCTTCAAAATTTAGGTGGAAAATTGAAAATTTGATAAAATCTTTCCTTTACTTAAAATTTAACAAAGTGATCACTTTTGAAAAAACTCCTCTTTCAGTCTCAAACAACGCAAAAAAAATGAGGAAAATGGTATTGGAAAATAAAATTGCAAGTTTGCTTCCCAAGTGATGGGTGGCAACAAAAGCAACGAGAAACAAGTTTACCTGGACTGATGCAGCTAGGAAGCCTAGCGACATGTGGGCTTAAATGATAGGAAGGGAAGCGGCTTCTTCTACTTTCAGAAATGGCGTCGCATTGAGAAATATCAATTTTATAGCCAGTGAAGCAAACCTTATCAGTTACGATGCACCCAATTAAAACCATAAAGAGAATAAATGGCATATGAAAAAAAAAACGATTCAACCATAGAATGAAAAGTAAAATATTAATATAGGTTTCACGATTTTGTCATTTTCATTCTTAAAGAAGTTTAAGTTGTTTTAAGTAATTTGATTAGAGAAATTATGAGAGAAACAAATATTGTTGTGAACAATTGTGCCAAGGTCTGCCGAAAGACCTCACCGATGTGTTACTCTTTCTTTCTCTTATTTTTATTAGTGCAATTAATAGTTAGTGCTTACTATTTCTGGTTAGGCTAGCTCGGTTGGAAATTAGTATGGCTGGAGACTTCTTGCGAGGGAAGCCACGAGGCCTCTTAGCGATAGGTGAGTGGCCAGCACGATTGTTTAAGCTTTCCTGCTAGGGAATTGAACCTCTGATGCTGCAGATCAAAGCATCGCAGCTTTGCCACGTCTCTCCCTTCATTCTCCACAAAACTTGGTGAATAACAATGATAATAAATATAATATAATAATAATAAATAAATAAATATATAAATAAGTAAATATGATAATAAAAAAAGGATTTTTCAAAATAAATTTTAAAATATTAAGAGAAAATTAAGAAAAGAATAAAGAAACTTTCTTTTAATGAGCTGTTAAGTTTTTCTTCTAGGTTCTTCTCACTCATCAATCCTAATTTGGCTGACTATTATAAGATCATTTCGCAAAAGAGAGGGGGCCACGTAAGAGTTAAGTTCCTGGCACCATACGAATTTTTAACAATTTTTAATGATAGATTTATTCTCGTCAAAGGATAGGAATACGACTCATAATGACCAATTTCAGCAATATATCACTCGGTTAATTTACCTCCATACTCCTCCAATTTACTCCAAACAACTAAATTCCGATACCGATAAAGAGCAGATTAACTAATAATTTATTTTAAATCGATATCAGAAATCGTTGTTACTAAAATTAGATAGGAAATTAGATTATTACAAAAATTAGATGATCGACAGTATATCATTAAATGATCAACTGAATGAAACGCGACAGGGACAGGTTTTCGGAAGCGACATTTTCATAATATCGTGCATATCCGGTTATTCAAATTTCTAAGTCATATTATCCTCGTGTTTAATCCACTCAATCGGGTCTAATGAGATTGATCGTATGAATTTTTTATGGCAAAATGAAGAGTACAATTCGTTTGTTGCAAATCGTGCTAAAATTTTAAAAAAAGCCATTGGCCATAAGTATGAATGAGAGCTTTAAAAATGTGAGCCCAGATGAACGAAATGTAAACCAATGGAAATGGTGAGTGTTTATTTCTGGGGAATCGATACTTGAGTTCAATTCTGAGATCATCCTTGTTCAATTCATTCTGTTTATTTTAAATAAGCGGTCACCAATTCTGGCTAGTCTAGCTTTGCTCGCTGTTAGTACCACTAAAAATTTTTAACAAGAAGTA